GTTAATGGGTTGTCCACGCTAAAATTTCGGTGTCTTTGTGTTGTGCGTGCTTACCGTTTTTTAGCTGATTATATTGGTGTGTGACAACAGTATTGTGTGTGTTCTAATTGCATTAAGAACATCCTATTTGTTTGCATCCTCAGAGGTTCATTCAAGTTGGGAAAGTTTAGACAAAAGGAAATTAATTCCACATTTATTTGTTTGCCGATTGTGGCTGTTTTTCCCATAAGGAAACCTTCCCACTCTCATCGGTCTGCCATTTTCACAACTGAATCATTGGCTAGTTGTTTTTAAGAATGGCGTTCTTCATATATTTGTAGCAATGATTGTGATCTAATTAAAAATGACATGTAAACATTTTGTTTCTGCCTTTAATTTTTCAAAAGCATCAGATTTACTGCATTAAACTTTGTAAATTTTTGTAGTTGTTATAGAACTGATGTTTCTGCATTAATATTAACAAGAGCTATTTCAGGAATCGCTTGTTGGTACAAAAGAATACGATCCACTTGTTTGTAAGGAAGATTAATGTGTTTCATGTATTTTTATCATTCCATATGATTTAGAATTTCACAAAAAGTTACTTTGATTTACTTTAATTTTCTCTTCATCATGATCGTAGGAAGAAACAAAAGATATGTCAAATAAATTATGGATTACAGAATTAGTGATCCACCTGCGATAGAATAGATGACGGAAGAACCAATCTAATAAAAAAATTAGGCAGTTTTTAAGATGAATTTAATTCTACATGAACTATTAACGTAGTTTCTGTGTATGTCATTCTCTAGTCACTCCGCTACATATCATGTGGATTTGAAAGCCATTTAATTATTTGGCATAATTTATTAAGACTAGACATTGATCCATTGTGGATGCTCTAATATGTTTTAAAGATATTCTGTTTTAAAGGTATGTCCCAAAAAAATAAACGATGTCAAACGATGTTTAATACGGTTCAAAGACTCCAAACAATGTCTACTTCAATTATTATTATTATTTTCTGGTTTAACCTATTGTTCTCTAAGGCCAACATCCTTGAACTAGGATGAAATTCGAATCTGTAACCTCCTTTTTGGAAGTGTCATAGTATGTCATCAGACAACAAGGTACTTTGAAACCTTAATTATTAATAAAAATATGATTATTAGCTTATTTTATCCCAAACTATCATCAAATTCACAAATTTATCTTATTCTTTCACTTTTATAAAAAAACACTTAATCCTCACCTTTTTGAACAATCATTCTTTTTCTTTTCTTTTCAAAATTACACATTTTTATCAATGCAACAAGATATAAGCAATACAAACATAAATATGAACTATAAATATGATTTTCTTCTTAAGTTTTAGTAATTCATCTATTGAAAGTGAAATTGTGAGAAAAGTTGAAGTTTGAGTTTTTTTTTTTAAGTGAAAATATAGGATAAATCTATTCAACTATAAATTTGATTATAGTTGAGCATATTGCTAGCTAATAATCCTTAAAAATGAAAAGCAAACCATGTATAACTTCAAGCATTATTATCATATATATGGGATGAAGCATTATGATGATGCTTTCCAAATTAGATGTAACGAAAAGAATTTATCATCTTTATATAATATCTGGAAATTTTTCTACCATTTTCAAATATTAATCTTTTGATTGTTGTGTAACCATATAAATATATATGCTCTTTATTTGTTTTTTATTATTATAATAACTTAGAGCATCTCCAATGCTAAAACGTTAACGGTGCATACGTGGCATGAGAAATAACTAATTAAAAAACAATAAATACAATATCTCTCACCTTCTTTCCACAGTCTTGTGTGTTTATGGTAAGTTTTTGTCTGCAATGTCAATCACAATGTCTACATCTAGACATTGTGCTTGACATTGTGAAGATAAACTTACCAAAATGATGTAAGACCCTTTAAATAAGGAGAGAGATATTGTATTTATTGTTTTTTTAATTGGTTATTTCTCATGCCACATATGCAGCGTTAACGTTTTAGCATTGGAGATGCTCTTATATGGATATGTCGTGAAGTTTAGTTCGATGCCTTTCCTCTTTTTAATATACATCTTTAAATCTATTAAAATATGACTTTTCCCGTGCATCGCACGGGTGTAATACTAGGAACCCTTAAAAATAAAAAGCAAACCATATTTAATACGGAGTACTAAACACAAGGAAGAGTACAAATGTGTCCAGCTTTGCAGAAAGAGAGGCGCGTCCAGTAGTTTTGGAGGTGCGCTAAGCAAACCATTTGTGTTAGCTTCAGTTCGGAAGGGAGAAAATCATTTGATCGTGTTTTACGTGTAGCTCTACTGGTGAGGTTCAGTCTACGAATATGAGAGTTGAGAGATATCTTTTACGGAGTATTCAGTATACGGAAATGATTCGATTAGGCGTGACTAACCAAATATCCCGTACAAAACAAGCCCGTTTGAGGGGCTTTCAAGTCGCATATTTTGATGAAATTTTATGAGGATCTTTTATATGAAAGGTAGGTTATGTCTACAAAATTTAAGTTTAAAATTCAATTGAGAAGTTATTTAAATAAATTATTGAAAAACACTGTATTTTTATTATATATACATAAAGTGCATTGTTTTTCAATATTTTATTTAATAGACTTCCCGATTGAAATTTATCCTTAAATTTATACGCGATTTACATCTTCCAGTACGTAAGTTACATCTTCTTATGCACGATTTACTTCTTCATGTGCACGAGTTACATCTTCTTATGCGTGATTTGCATTTGGACTTGTCTAAACAAGTTGCATTTTGCACACACTTAAGTTATACTTTCCACCAAATGTCACATCCACGTTGATTTTAATGTCTCCCACAACTGGTCTGATCTACCTGGTTGCGTTAGAGCATCTTCAATGCTACAATGTGCACGGTACACATGTGGCATGAGAGATATAGACACAAAATATTGATTTTATGACATTTCTATCTCCTTCTTTCCATGGTCTTATGTGTTTTTGGTAAGTTTTTGTCTGCAATGTCAACCACAATGTCTACATCTAGACATTGTGCTTGACATTGTGAAGAAAAACTTACCAAAGTGATGTAAGATCCTTCAAATAAGGAGAGAGATATTCTATTTATTATTTTCTAATTGGTTATTTCTCATGCCACGTATGCACCGTTAACGTTTTAGCATTGAAGATGCTCTTAGAAGCTATATTGAACTTCCCCGTCCCTTTCCTTTGTACCACCCACCGATCCTGCAAAATCACCTTCTGCATAGGAACAAATTACTCTTCATTCTTTCTAAACAACCTAATTTCATGCCTTCCATAGACTCCATAATTAATACTAAATATACATAGATCCTCAACCCTTCAAGCAAGGCCGTCTTTTAGGAGGTGCAATAGGTGCTTCACACCGGGGCTCACGTTTATAGAAGGCCTCCAAATATTTAGTATGTGTCATACATGTATTAGTTATAGGTTGCTTTTTCTATCTATTGTGTATTAGTTCATATTCTAAAACGTGTGTTATGTCACAACAAAGACTCAATGGTTTGACAATGATATCAAATTGTGAATGAAGCTGTCTACAAGATAGAGTATAAAGATTTAAGTGATGTATAAAGATTATATAATAATATAAATAGTATATTATTATTGTTGTTGTTGTTATTATTATTATTATTATTAGGCTTTTTTCAAGAGTAATACAAAAATAAAACTTATTTACATAAATATGACTATTCGTGATTACAACGTAGTGTTGTGGTAACTTAAGTTCAAAACTTGAACATGAATTACAACGATTTCATTACTACTCTAGTAACTAGTCATATTTTTGTAAACCATCTTTATGTAATTAATCCCCCCCCTCCCCTCCCCCATCCCCCCCTCCTCCTCCTCTCCCTCCTCCTCCTCAGAAACATTCTGACCAAATCAGAAAGATTCAGATAAGATCAAATCAGAAAAATGAAAGTACTCACCATTTTTGTCTCTTAACTTCTCAAGGGCTGGACCGCTGGAGGTGAGTTCAACTTCGAGAGTTTAGTATCAGTTCGGTGATGTAAAGATCACTTGATGCTAATAAATAAAAAAAATAGTCACATTTTTTTATAAGAATGTTTTCAAGTTGTTTGTCCCACACGGATTTGGTCATATTTTTTTACTTCGAAAACTGCTAGGAGGACAATCATATTCATGTGGATTTTCATCAGCGATGTAATATTACTTTAAGATTGTTTAATTTGTGTATTTTAAACATTATAAAACTTATAATTTATTTAATTATATAGTCTTTTTGTATTTCATTATTAGATTTGTTATTCTTTATCGTTTTAGAGGGCCTCAATTCGCCATTTTGAACCGGGGCCTCCAAATTCATTAGACGGCCCTGCCTTCAAGCTTCAAAGCAAGCTTTAACCCACTCCTCAAAAGTTGTAGCCTGCCTTTGAAACCTAGCTCCGAGCAAATGTCATACCTCTTTCACCACATGACAGTCTTAAAATAAGTGTAACTCGCTATCTTCCTCACATCCATAATTTTTGCAAGCGATTGAACATCTACTCGCCTTCAAATTAATTTGATTGCCTTGGGAAGACAACCTGTTATGACTTGCCAAAAAAACATGAGATATTACCCAAAATGGGACTAAAAAAGTTTGGAAATTCCAAAATAGGACTTCCATCTTTTTATTCCCAAAATAGGACTAATTACTGTCATGTTTTGGCAGTACCAGATTTCAAACATGGCAGTATTTTCCAACTTTGGCAGTAATTAGTCCTATTTTGGGAATAAAAACATGACAGTCCTATTTTAGAATTTTCAAACTTTTTTAGTCCCATTTCGGGAACTTTCCCAAAAAACATTTTAACTTTAGGTTGAATAAAAAAAAACACATACAGGTCCAACCAACCCATTTGCCTCCCAAGACATCTCCTTGGGCCCAACGGTATATACTCTTGTGTAGTGTCCTTTAAGATCATCAACCCACCAATTGGTCTTCTCCTCCTACTATGTATACTAAAAATCGCATCACACTCGAGGTCGGAAAAGAGAGCTCGCAGTGTATTCTTGTTCCATTCTCCCTCATCATCCGATAGCAAGGCCTTCACACTCATATCAAGAGTTCCATTCGGTTATCTAGTAGTAATTATCCCATTTTCAGGTCCGAGAAGCCATTTGTCCTTCCAGACTGAGTTATTCTGCTCCGTTCTAGTAGTATTGTTTAACTGCTAACTTAAAGTTAGAGTAAATTTCAAAAGAGAAGAAAACACTAGTTTCTTATGTTCTGGTTCGAGCTAGACTAATAATTAGATATTATGTTAATTGTTAACTACTTCTTCACATGTTACTATACTAAATTTCTATTTTGCATAGTTTATTTCTGAGAATTTACCCAAAATAGGACTAAAAAGGTTTGAAAATTCCAAAATAGGACTGACATGTTTTTATTTCCAAAATAGGACTAATTACTGCCATGTTTTGGCAGTACCAGACTTCAAACATGGCAGTATTTTCCAAACTTGACAATAATTACTTCTATTTTGGGAATAAAAAACATGGCAGTCCTATTTTGGAATTTTCAAACTGTTTTAGTCCTATTTCGGGAACTTTCCCTTTATTTCTGAACTACTTGAATCTCCAACCCCAAAAGCCCATGTGCTCCGATCTGACAGAGCACATGGAGGTTGTAAATTATGTTGACTCAACCAATCATAATAGTGACAAATAGTTTATTTCTGAACCGAAAATTTTATAGGAAGGGGTTCAACCGTTCACCTTACTCGACGTGAATTTGAAATTCTTTAAAATCCGAACCGACCCGAAAATATTGCTCGCTAAGAAGCTGTTCTCTTCGTCTCATTCTTATTACTTATTGCTTATTCTTATTTTATTCAGATCAGATCAGATCAGATGAAAAAGATTCAGATCAGATCACAACAATTCAGGTCAAATCAGACCAGATCAGAATCATTCAAATCAGGTCAGAAAATTTTAAACATGATTTGTCAATTTATAATAATTACATCTATAATTACAATTACAATTATAATTACAATTACAACTACATTTATAATTATTATTAACATTATAAAATTACAATTATAATTTTAATTGTAATTATAATTGTATATGTAGTTGTAATTATAATTGTAGTTGTAATTGTAATTATAATTGTAATTGTAATTTTAATTTTGATTGTGATTGTAATTTTGATTATAATTACAATTATAATTATATAAATAGTTATAATTAATAATATAATTACAATTATGATTATATGTATAGTTATAATTAGTGTAATCTACTTTAGTACTAATAAATAAAGGTTAATCCCAATTGAAATTGATTGATACCTAAATTGCTATTAAGTCCAATCATTGAAATTGCTAATTTTCATATTTGACCATTAATTATAATTAAATCTGCCCACGTGAAACTCCTAATTAGCTAATTAAATCTTATCCCTTCTAAGTTCTAATTAACTAATTGAATCAAATCCCTTTGTTTTAGGTAAAATAATAGAGATAAGATCTCTAATCACCATTAACTTCAAAATTTACCTCCTGCGTCAAAATTCGTGTGATTGACAATCAATGCCATCCAAAAATTAATTTAAAGTAGGAAAAATTGAAAATAATAAGTGTAACTATTGTTGGTATGTTGTTAATAATCGGAACTATCGATTATTATTGGGTGATCTCAACTGACATAGCAGGTCATTTTCAAATGAGAACTAAACGTAAGATATAAATCATCCTAACTACATTCATTTTTTATTATTAAATCCCAATTATCAACTCTTAATTTTCGGAAGATGTAGAAATATTTTTATAAATTTCTAAACTAAATATTTATATACATGTCAAATAATTACGATATTCTTGAAATGTACTTTGGTTATATAAAATATTTCTTAGTTAGTTTTAAATTTATTTTCAATTAGTTTTCATTTTTCTTTTTTCCAATTTCTTTTTAAAAAAAATCATTAATATTACTCATGGAAAAGTGGTGGACAAATATGTGACTTGATAGTTTTTAGTAACTATAATTATATTCAAAATTATTATGATGTAGTGACTATGATGTAAACTTTGAAACACAATTATAGTCGCTAATAGTTCTAAGTCACATTTTTGTTCATGACTTTTCTATTAGTTTTATTTTAGGTAACCAAATTGTGATTTTGTTTTTCTGAGTTGTGTAACCAAATTGTGATTTTGTATTATTTTTATTTCTCAAATCTACATTTTCTGTTTTTAAAAAGTACTGAGTGATTAAACATTTTAGGATAAAGAGATTTATTCAAGATTTTTTTTACGAATTGTTTTATGCTATCGTATGTAATTCTTAAATTCTGAACTTTCCATTTTTTTTAATATTTTTAATTTCTTTCTATTTTCTTTATTTTATATTATAAATTATATAATATAGTTTAACATTTAATTTTTAAGATAAGGGTATAGTTAATCATATGATATAGTTTAATAATCATAGTTCAAATTATTATAAATATATATCCTTTTTTTTAACATGAATGTGGTACATTGTGTTTTGCCCTTTGACTCTTTTAAAGGAATTTACTTCCCCTTTAAATTTATGTTAATAAAAAAAGTTTTTTTTTTAACATGGACAACCGGTGACCGGTTACGGGGACTACTATTGGAAGATGACTCCGGCCTATAGTTGGGATCACCGGGAATAATTAAGAGTTGAAATTATTAACAACGGAACGGTAAGAGTTGAGATTATTATTTTCAACTTTCCTTTAAAGTAATACTTTGTAAAGTAAAAACGTGTTTAGATTTTCATTATCTGGTTTAATTATTCCATTTTACATTTTTGTAAGGGTAAAAGGGCAATACATTTTTATCAATTTTCCATTTTCGTTTTGTTATCTTTAATAAAATAATAAACCTAATTGTTTATATCAACCTTAGAACATACCGAGTATAAAAAAATTCCTGCTTTTTTTCATATAAGCATTAAACTAAAATGAACAAAAAATATATGTAAAACATGCTATTACTTCTAACTTTAAGTATACGTATATGCAACATTTGAAGTATAATTAAGTGAGAAAAACTATATATCACGTCACATTTACTTTATAGAGAATTAAAATAAATATAAAATGGCGTTATTGATTCAAATAAGACTAAGAGTAGTGTGTATGTTTCAATATTAAACATTAAAAAAGAAAGTATTCATATTTAACACCTATGATGAAATTTAAAATTATTTTGACTGAAAAAATTATCAAATAATATCATTGGATATGGATAACAAAGATGGCATACTTGAATGTTTTAGTTATTTTATTATAGTGAAAAATATTTGTTTACCATAACTTTACAGCATAGAAAGGTTTAGGCAGCTAATTTTTAGATAATCATATGCTTACCATGTCTTATAAGCATGAAAGTCAGACACCATTATTAGATGGATGTTAGATAACAATATCATATAAATATGAATAACAAATTATTTATAATTTACAATTTAGATAAAATATTTTTTTAATTATTTTATAAACTTCAAATTTAAACACCTACATACTCGATATCGTTGTCAGAATCTTTAAGATCAAGCTCAATCGTCTCATAGAAGAAATTAAAGATAGAAAACTATTCAGAGTGCCTAAAGCACGTAAGTTCTCTCCAATGGTGTTTTGGTTTAAATAAATATAAATATAAGTACATACTAATATCCTTCATTGATTATGCAGTCATTTACACTGTTGAATTTCAGATGAAGCAATTCCCGAGTATCTTATGCTTTGCGACGAGCATCAACAAGAGCAAAAGTCAGTCTCTATCCCAAATCAGACTATATCTCGAGAAAAATATCTTCATTCACGACCAATTACATATCAAGGGTCAAGAGCAAAGATGAATTGAAGATTTTAATTCGCTCTAAAGATCAAGGGTTTTCCACCAAGATCATAATTGTTGTTTATAAAGAGATTTCCCATAATTTAGAAACACACCCTTTCAATTTTTAATGCATGTGTTTTAGTCATTCTAAAGTGTTACGGATCCTAATTAACTTCTTTATTCTTATATACTATGATATCAAATTATAAATCTTTCAGTGCTTTTGGCAATGAGAATCGGAAAATTCATAAGAAAGATATACTCCCTCCGTCCCATTTTAGTTAGCCAATCTTTACTTTTCCGGTCAAAGGTTGTAAACTTTGAGCAATTATTTGAACTAATATATTTATGCAAAAAATAATAATTATATACTTTTATGATTGTATTTTCAACAAAGAATATTTTCATATAATTTTCATATTATTAATATGTTATCTATATAAATATATAAGCGGTCAAAGTTAGGTACCATTGACTTGAAAAACCATGTTTGGCTAAGTAAATTGGGACGGAGGGAGTAGTTCACACATATACAAAATTATAAACTAAATGTTTCATACGGGAGTTGCACCCCGGGGCAACGCCCTGGTACAAAACTAGTATGTATGATTATTATAGTTTAATTATAATTATATACTCCCTCTGTCCCAAATTATAAGATACTTTTCGGTTTACGATGTTTGACCGACGATAAAGCAAACATATCTCTGTGTGCACTCAAATTAATTTTAGAAAAAAAAGAATTACATATTCAGAAACTACATTAAAACCACTACAAAACCTGCAAAAAATAATTCAAATTTAATAAAATTTTGATATATAAAGTAGGAGATTAAGAATGATTTGTGTTGACAAAGTGAATAGTAAAGACATCTTATAAAATGGGACAGATGGAGTATTTTTTATAATCATGATTACAATTTTAATTAAATTATATTTCTAATTCTAATTATAATTATATTTATAATTATAGAAATATTCAGATTAGATCAGAAATATTCAGATGAGAAGCATTCAGATCACATCAATCAGAAAGATTTAGATCAGAATGATTTACCTCAGATTTGGAGGATGATCCGAGTTTTTAACGGTTCTAGTCAAAATCCAAAGCAGCCCATCAGTTCTCTTGTTGCAAAGCGCACCTAAAACGGCTACTAGGCGTCCTCCCGCCGTCCCGGTCCTCAGGCCGATACCGGGGCGCACCAACGGCGACGGAAGGCCGTACCCGTGTTTCGTAGAACAGAGGTCTCAACACAATGTTGCATGAAATCTTACTAGCACTGTTAGGTTATACGGGAGATCTTATTATTGATCAAAGAGAGCACCAGCAGTCACTTGGTGTTCAGTTGGCCCCCGACTCACCAATTGCGGAAGAATCCACCTTCGTCCTGGCTCCTGATCTGTCCTTCATACAACCCAGTGAAAGGTACAATTTTTCCTAAAAATCTCTATCATGGCATTTCACATAACTATGAAGTCGTACATAGACGAGGGCATGAATTAGACACGATACAACATGAAATGACATAAATTTTCATATTGTGTGTATTTCGTGTGTAAAATAAAACGATGCATGAATTGCTAGGTCTATGTTAACAACTGGTTCATTCGTACTTTAAAAATGTTTTCTTATAAATTTTTTGTCAACTTCACACTTCATGCAGGGATGTAATTAAGAAGATAATTGCTCTTGGTTTTTATTACCGAGAACTTGATAGATTTGCAGCTAAGTCTCGGAATTTGAGCTGGATTAGGTCCAACAATGAGTCACCACTGGTTAGAGCTTCTGAACTGTTAAAGGGGAAAAAAGAGAAACAAAGTATTTACAGGAGAGCCATTTCCAATGGGATTGTTGAGGTGCTATCAGTGTATAGGTCTGCTGTTCTGCAAATTGAGCAGAAATTCTTGTCTGATTCATTACCAATCTTATCAACACTTACTCACGGTCTCAATAAGGTTAGTTTCTGGAGTCCTTACTGATTCTATAAGTGCACATACTAAAAGTTGTTTGCTTTATGCTGATATATGGCATATATGCAGTATATATATTTTGTGTAGCATATCACAGAATTCATATACTGTACATATATTCTGTGGAATATTTAATTAATTTTAAAATCTGTCAGCCTTTAACTTGTATTTCCACTCCTTTCTCTATGAATTCTCTGACCAATGTATTTTCGTGTATAAGTTCTTTGTCCTTTTGCCTCCTCTTCACGAGCTCATTTTGGAGATAGAGCGCAATGGCGTTTGTGGAGGGAAGCTTCTCAACCTCTTGCACAAACGGTGTCAATGTGGCATTCCTGAACTGCAGACATGCATTCAGAGGTGTAAATACTCGTACTTTTATGCTATGGTATTTTTTAAAATAACATCCTCATCTCTTGTGGCCTAACTTGTAGTTCAAAAGCTCCAATTTTACCATCAAAGATTTTCTCTGTTTTGATGCTCATATTCTTTCACTATTTCACTTGAAATATAGGCTTCTTTGGCATGGGCATCAAGTCATGTATAATCAGCTTATGTCGTGGATGGTCTATGGGATTCTTCATGATCCATACAGAGAATTTTTCATTGGCAGGTAATGACCACTTTTAAAGGAGATTTCTGTCACCCATTTTCTCTAAGGCTTAAAATCTTGTCGAGTTTTTCTTTTCATTCCTGTGCTTTTCACCGTCTCTACAAATTTACCCATTTTCCCTATGATTATGGGAACAGTATTCCACTAAATCCATAGACCTTCTCAACAGCCCATTATAGGATGAACATGCTGCAGTTACAGTTGGTGTTACAGATAGAAAGTTTTGTTGTTGAAGCATATACAAAAGGCTTTGTTTTTCTTTCTAGACAGGATGACAAGGATGCAGAAACAGACTCAAGTTCTGATGTGATTCAGAAATTGGCACACTTGTCAACCAGTGATGTTTCTTTAACTGATTGGCACTTGGGGTTCCATATTTCGCTGGTATGTTATAATTCAATCATTCCATCATTTTCTTTAAAGTCTTCTGTTTTAATAATTTTCTTGTATATATTTTGATGAACATTGTGATTGGAAGGCAAGTAGTTGCGATTGAAAAACTTACTTTTGTATGGAACACTGTGATTGCCAAAACATGGAGTAAACACCAGCTTTTCAGTAACTCTCAGTTTGTTACAGAGATGTTTTTTCTGGAACATCTCTTCAGAGTTCTGATTATCATATTTTTGGAACCAGTAAACAATTTTCAGTAAAGATTTTCATGTGCTTGGCACCGGACAATAATTTCTTTGGTTCTTTGACATTTGGGAATGGGAAGTCATGTTTTCCTGAAACATTTTTATGTTTTCGATTGTTGCGGGTCAAGTATTTTATTACACATAGAAAAGTTTATTTTTCATAAAAGCATTTTCCATGGAAAATATTTCCCAACTCAAGGTATTTTCATGGAAACAAGTGGAACATTAATTACACTCCAATAGTGATTGCCATAGAAATTACTGGTGTAAAGATCGTTTCTTCAATCAGACTGTTAGTTAAGAGTCATGACTTGCGTTTTTGTCAAGCCTTCTACTTGTTGGCGAAACAACTTTTTACGGCACAAGTTGATTCAGTAGACACAGTATGACAGTATAGTGAGGGTCATGCTTGTCAAACTGGAAAGTAGCTCCAACAACTGAAATTCATGCATTGTACTTTCATTCTTTTTATTTATCGGAAGAGTATATATATTACAGGACATGCTTCCAGATTATATCCCTATGGGTGTTGCAGAGTCCATTTGTTTTGCTGGAAAAGCAGTCAGGGTACTTCGAAATCCTAGCTCTACTTTTCAACTTAATAATGCAGCATTGAATCAGCAGACACAGAGAAGTCTACAAAAGAACCAAGGATTCACAGAAGAGGTCTCTTTTGAGAAGAACTCTCCAATGGATTTTCAGTCAGTTGGAGAAGATTTACTACCACAGTCTGAGGCAGATAAGATCGAATCTTTGCTTCAAGCCTTAAAGGTTTAATAAACTAAACCATGCATACAGTAACCAGACATACCAAAAACGAGTAAAGGGTCACTTTGGTCCTTCAAGTTGCAAAAAAGGGGTCAAATAAGTCCTTGTATGGAAGATTCTGTCCGGACGTGCCATTTGAGGTGGCTCTCGGTGGAATTTTTTGATAAAATTTTTTGAGCATCTTATTCATTAAGTCTATTTTACTCATACCAAATTTCAGCTAAAAATTCAATCGGGAAGGCATTCAAATGAGTTCTTAAAGATAACTATGCTTTTAACGGCACAGTTATCTTGAAGAATTCATTTGAATGTCTTCCCGATTGAATTTTTATCTGAAATTTGGTATGAGTCAACTAGACTTAATGAATAAGATGCTCAAATTTTTTTATCAAAAATTCCACCGGGAACCGCCCTAAATGGTGACGGCTAGATAGAATTTCCTATATAAGGACTTATTTGACCCCTTTTATGCAACTTCGAGGACCAAACTGACCATTTACTCTACCAAAAACTATAGGCCATTTTTTTCACTTTCTAAAGGATTTTCTACTGTTGTAGATAGGGCTGTCAATGAGCCGAGCCGAGCCCGAACACCCAAGTCTCGAGTTCGGCTCGATAAGGATTAGTGGTGTTCGGCTTCGAGCTCGAAGCTCGGCGAGCTTTACAAATGAGGCTCGTGTTCGGCTCGATAGGCGTTCGATGTTCCAACCAAGCGCTCGATAAGCTCGATAAATATGCTCGAATTTAAAATTTTAGGTGATGCTCGTTAATAGGCTCGTGCTCGAATGATTCGACAAGTATTCGGTTCGTTAATAATCATATTTAAATTCATAAAATCATACTAATTATATTAAAATTTTGAATATATATAAATTATATTTATAATTTCAGGGTGTTCGAGAGGCTCGAGTTCGAACTGAGCCGAATACTACAATGTTCGAGCTCGGCTCGATTAATTTTTCGAACTTAAAACTCAGCTCGGGTTCGAGTTCAAAAGCTCGTTAAGCCCGGCTCGTTAGGTTCGAAGCCGAGCTCGAACTCGAATAGTTCGATAAAAGCTCGGTTGGTTTACAACCCTAGTTGTAGACTTGTAGCAATTAAAGATGCTAATTTTTTTTCTTGCTGCTTTTTCTAACTTGTAAGCTACCTTGTGTAGGAGTCATCAGAGTTTCACAAACGAACATTTGAAATGGCTGTTGACTCAATCAAAGCAATTGCAGCTAGTCATCTTTGGCAGGTTTGGGTTTGCAGAACTTAATATTTATTTGATTTTCTGTATAACCCTTTAAAGTCTCTTATATTTTGCAGCTTGTAGTTGTGCGTGCAGACTTAGATGGCCACTTAAAAGCCCTCAAAGATTATTTTCTTCTGGCAAAAGGTGATTTCTTTCAGGCAAGTAATCTGATGTTCAGTGTTCTTTTCTACTGATGTAGTTTTTCTGTTCTTAGTAAGAAATCAAAGGTTTCTAATATATTTATTGTGCACTAATATGCCAGAGTTTCCTTGAGGAGAGTCGCCAGCTCATGCATTTACCACCTCGCCAGTCCACTGCAGAAGCAGACCTTATGGTCCCCTTCCAACTGGTAGGTGAATGATTTAGGCCTCCCACATGGGATGCATAATATGAAAAAAATGAAACTCCCTCCGTATCGAAAGGTTGCCCTACCTCCCATTTAACGATGTTTTTAGTTAGTTGTTTTGCTTCCTCTTATTTGGTAAACACTAGCCTATACATGACATAGACACCCTTTATCATCCCCTCTCCTACTCATTTAGTTATTTTATCTCCCCTCCCTCACTTTTTCGCTTGTTATAGTGTTATGCACTACCCAATGCTCCTGCAATGTTACTCTTACATCCTGTAAAAACCCTATCGGAGTGAAACAGAGGGAGTATATATTTATAATTTAGTTGATTCTTGCAAAATTGCCTTTGTGATTATTGCTGACAATACATTGTGAATTCTTATTTTATCATGCGATTTCTTTAATTGCTTCATTTGACATTTTCAAGTTTCAACGACATGTTTCTTTCATCAGCATCGCTGAACCTACCTGTAAAGCTTTAACAAGAATAATTGCATTGCAGGCTGCACTTAAGACTATTGGAGATGAAGACAAACACTTTTGTAGAGTGTCTTTGCGGTTAGAGTCTTTTATTTTTGTTTGAGCGAAGTTGTATGTTAAAATTGATGCCCTAAGTCACCTTTTGTATTTTAACTGTAGTGTGCCTTCTGTTGGGATTCCTCTCAAATCAACTCAGCGTGATTTGCTGAAAAATGCATATGCTGATGGAGAGATAGGAGGGCAATCAGATGCTTCTTTGGAGATGTCCCTTGACGGATGGGATGTCATTTCACTTGAGTATTCTGTTGAATGGCCCTTGCAATTGTTTATTACACAGGAAGTCCTTTCAAAGTAAGACCAAACGACTATTACATTTTCATACAGTGAAGTGTCTTAGCTGAAACATATATTGTCTTGTTTTTTTAGTGATTTTCTACATTCAAAGTGTCTTAGCTCTGTCCCAAAAAAGAGCTTCGTTGAAAGGTATTTTATTTGGCTAGTTTAGAACCTCTTATAAAGCCAATCCTACTTATATTGTTGTAGTTCATGAGTTGGTTTAACCAAATTTATCATATTTAATAGTTTGGTACTTATTTTTCGTGAAATTATATGAAATGTTATTGTCCAAAGAAGTGTTTTTGAAACAAAACCCTTTTTAGAGGTGGAGTAACTTTTTACTAACGTGTTATGTCAGACTTGTTAAAAGCGGAAAAAAGCGCCCAAAAGAGACAAAGCGCAGGCGAGCGCTCAACCTGCGCCTGGCTTTTGAGAAGCGTCCCGCCATGAGAAAGCTACGCTTATCCCTGCACTTTTCTTGAGTGAGCTTTTCCATTAAGCGACGCTTTTCCGAGCTTCTCACAAAAAGCGTTGACAGGTCGTTTTTGTTTTGTTTTAGTCTTCTCCTCTCGTCGCTACAAGTTAGGGTTATCAGGTCTAGTGTCGTTCGACTCTTTCCTCGCTCCAGACAAAGCCAGTGCGCTGAAGGAGCAGCCTGCGATTGAAGAAGCCGGTTTCTCTGCGAGCAGTTCGGTCTGAAGAAGCCGCAGGTGAACGCCAATTCTGAAGAAGCTGCAGTTCTATTTCATCCAGACTTTCTCACCGGTGATACACAATTCTAATTGCTCCGTCTGAACATCGTTTCACACTTTTAGAGTTTAGTCTTTGTTTTTAATTTGAGGCTTTGAGACCAGACTTCCACAACTCATTCTTACTCTGCATCCTGTTTTTTCTTTTTTTGAAAATCTTAATCTCACTCTGTTTCTATAAACTTCTAAAACAACTTATATTATATAGATATAATATAATGAAAGAAATAATTAGATTATCATTTTCTTGGTAGTAATTATAGTTTTGAACAGGTGAATTATATATCATAAACAAAGTATAGATAGCTAATGCCTTTTGTTGAACAAAGAAATCATTTTCTTGGTAATAATTGTACCCATTATTCTATCAAGTATTAATCTAGTAATTTTTTACAGAAAGATCAATCTGTCTACACATTAGTTAGTAGTTACCCTAATGTATTCGAAGCTAAATTAAATTCAAGTTTATTCCTTTCAGTGTATTGATTAATTAATTTTGAGTTTGTTCCAGTTTATTGACTTATTCCTTTCACTTTATTGATTAATTAATTTTTATTTTATTCCAATTTATTATTTCAGTTTATTGATTAATTTTTTTAGTTTATTACTTCAGTTCAGTTTATTCCTTTTATTATTAGTTATGCGTATTTGCGTAATTGTGTGATGAATGTTTTCTCACTTTATGCAGCACCAGTATTATAATTATGCATTTTCGGCATAATTATACATTATATATTATAATTATTGTAATTTTTAATAGGCATCACTTTTTGTGAGAAAGCTACGCTTCGCTTAGCGCTTTCGCTTTTAAGCAAAGCCCAATCTCATCACTTTTGGACAATTTTCGCTTTAAAAAAGTTTGTGTTATGTTGGATGTCATCATCCACGCACCCCAGCTCATAAGAAAGCAACAACACCATGTTATAACTGAAGTCGTGAAATTTGTATTCTAATAAAAAATTGTTTTAGGTACCAAAGAATTTTCCAGTACTTGCTCCGACTTAAGCGGACACAGATGGAACTAGAAAAATCATGGGCTTCCTCGATGCATCAAAATCACTCAGACTTTGCTAAGCACCGCAATGACCATTCAAAGTCTTCATCATCACAACAGCGGCGACAACACATTAGACCAATGTGGCATGTAAGAGAGCATATGGCTTTCTTGATAAAAAATCTCCAGTTCTATATTCAGGTAATCTATGTATGACTCTCTATCTTCAGCATGGAGAGAGCATATAGTACTTTCTCCATGCCACTACTTTGCCATTTACGAATAATGAAGTTTGACTCATGCTAAAATTAAATCTTCATGCTAAAATTAAATCACCATGACAAGTATTTAAATACATATTAATAATTAAAGACTACAGTCACTACACTAAACTCTACCATAGTACACGCTTTTACAAATTATGAATGAGTATTAGACGACAGGTGCTTGCTGATAGAGACTTTATTAATCTGAAGAGAGGAGATAAATACTCTAATAAAGTGTATTCTAGAAGGAAGTAGGGTTGTTATTAGTTTAGTCTGTTATGAGCTAATAACTACTGGGTTAGCCTTCCTTACTATAAATAGAATACTGTTAGAAGTGGTAGGGAGGCTGTATTTTTTGAGACAAGTTGTCTTGGCTGGGAAGTTAGAGTTTTATCTCTACTTTTGGGACTCTGTACTGAATGTAGACTTTTCAGTATATTGTTGATTGATGTTCTTGCATTCTTCCCTCTTGTTTGAGCAGGTTCTTGTTAGAATTACTGTTGAAAACATTAATTCTTGTTTGAGGTTCTTGTTTGAGCCCGTTTGTTATGATGTAAAGTAAACACTTTGCGTGCAAAGTGTGAGGAAGTAAACATTTTACACTGTTTGTTTTAACTGTTTAATGTAAACTGTAGGACACTTTTTAAAAACCATTTTACACTATACCATGTAAAATACTTTACGTGGGGGGGGAGGGTAGTAAACTAGTTTACATCCGTTAATACGGGAGAATAAATACACCGAATTACATACGACAACCAAAAATCTTGCCGGCAATGAATTAAACTCGTTTTTTCTTCCTGTGTTGCTCCAGTAAGAAAATAAAATTGGTAAACCACATCATCAAATCTCTTTCTCCATCTGTGTTGCTCTACAGTCTACACCCGTCGTTCCAAGAAAGCTTCTACAATGATTTATTCTCTAGATTGGCAGACTGCAGGTGTTGTCCATGATTAGTTCGATTTTGTAGCTAGATTGGCAGACTGCAGGTGTTGTTTAGTTTTTTTAGAAACCAGCCTATTTGATTGTGTAAGTATTTTATGTTTTATTTTTTTGTAAATATTACACGTGTAAAATTAGTTTCCAAACAAAAAGATTGTGTGTAATTTAAAAACAGATTACATAGATAGTCAAACGATGTATTTTTAGTTTACTGTTTACATGTAAACTAATTACAGCCCTACACTTTACGTGCAATCATTTTGCATGTAAAGTTTTAATGTGTGAACTACCAAACGAGCCCCAAGATTGTTTGGAGTAATAGACTATAACTGCTTGCCCGAATTTCACTTAAAATGAAGTTACTTTTAAAACCAGTCTCTCTCTTTTGGGAGTACTCTAATAGTATGCCTAGTTTTACAGATTGAAATGTGTCCTTACTCCTTACTGATTATTTGATTTATTGTTGTGTTCCCTCCTATTCCATCCATGCTAGTTGATCTTTCTCTATTTTTCCAGGTTGATGTTATAGAATCTCAGTGGAATGTTTTGCAGTCTCATATTCAAAATTCTCATGATTTCACAGAACTTGTGGGCTTCCATCAAGAGTAAGTAATCTACATTAATAGAATCCCCTCCTTTCTCAAGTAACTCATCATGTAACTAAAACCTACTTACAAATAGTTGTATAATGTAAGGAGGTCACAAGGCTATAAAGATATCAATTGCACTAGATTATTTATTCGCTTTGTGTGTATTACTAAATACATATATACGTGGGGTTGATTTGCAGATACCTGGGTGCATTAATTTCACAATCTTTCTTGGATATTGGTTCTGTCTCGAGGATTCTGTATGGCATAATGAAACTCTGTGTGCAATTTTGCTGGAAGATGGAGAATCAGGCGGGCAATGGGGATACCAACGAGCTAGAGCATATTGCTGAGGTATTGAAGGACTCAAATACCCTATGGCTTTGCCACACCTCCATTGCACTTCATTTCATTTTGCATGTAATTATTATTAGGGAACAGAAATCAAAATGGGATGTAATAGTTCTCTTGATGTTTATATATATGCCACAGGAATTCAACAAAAAATCGAACTCCTTATACACAATACTCAGAAATAGCAGGCTTGCTGGGAGTCAAAGAGCACCATTCCTTAGGCGTTTTCTTTTGCGTCTCAACTTCAACTCTTTTTCTGAGGTAAATTTCCCATCTTCCCATGCAGAAGTTCAGTTTTGTCTTCCAAATAATTCTGTCTGACCTTCTGTATATGTTGATGAATGATGATCTCACCAGGTGACTGCACTGAACGTTGTCGGGCACCGCCCACACCTTGCTGTTTAGCGGATGAGTGAATGTTTCTCTGCCTAAAAAATACCCCGGATTTCAATTGGGAAATGAATGTTAAGCTATTTAAGAATCTCCGGCCTCCCTTTCATGTTTTTATCCTCGGAAGGATGCGTTGTTGTGCCAAAATGACAACACCAGTCACCTCATAGAAGTTTCTCTGTCTATATATAGCTATGAATAGATGGGAAAGTTCAAAACCTATTTCTCGATAAGACGAGAAGTAATCAGTTTAATTTTTGATTTCCTTTTTATTCAATTCATACTAGTGATTGAGTAAATAAACCTACTTATTAAATATTAATGATAAAATAAACGAAAAATAATTCAAAACCCCCTAAACTTCAAAGGGGTGTAAGGTAAATATCCCAAAATAATATTGCATGCCATCGGTCTATATAATTACAACAACAACATCCAAGCCTTAATCCCAAAAGATTTTGAGGTTGGCTAACATGAATTAATCCATGATATCGATGTCAAAAAGAGAAGAGATACAAGGAAAAAAAAAAGAATAAAACGAATAAGATAAAGATAAATAAATACTCCCTCCGTCTTTTATAACTTTGCCATCTTTTCTTTTTTTGGATGTCTTGTACAGTTGTACTCTTATTCACTTTGCCACTTTCTCTTTTAAGTAAAGAATTTGTGGTTTCAGTTAATTCTTTCTCGTCTGCACAAAGCTGTAATCCCAAAATAATATTGCATACCATCGGTCTATATAATTACAACAACAACACCCAAGCCTTAATCCCAAAAGATTTTGAGGTTGGCTAACATGAATTAATCCATGATATCGATGTCAAAAAGAGAAGAGATACAAGGAAAAAAAGAATAAAACGAATAAGATAAATATAAATAAATACTCCCTTCGTCTTTTATAACTTTGCCATCTTTTCTTTTTTTGGATGTCTTGTACTCTTATTCACTTTGCCACTTTCTCTTTTAAGTAAAGAATTTGTGGTTTCAGTTAATTCTTTCTCGTCTGCACAAACTGTAATCACACAGTTTTTACTTTATTAATCCCAGTGCCGGTCAAACTTGACAAAGTTATTATGGACGGAGGGAATATAAGATAACAATTGCATAAGAATATAAGAAAGATAAAAGATTAAAATATAAAAGAACATAAAAAAGCTAGAAGATAAACGATAAAAGAAAAAGAGTGCGGAAAAATAAAAAAGAGATCAATCGTCCACACGAATGCGCGCCCTTCACTTTGCCCTCTCCAAAGTCATACTCTCATCCAACGCTTAATAATTGAAATAATAATATTTTAAATTATGCAATTAATATCATCAATGTATATTTTTGAAAAAACAACAACATATGATCATGGTGCTAACAAACTTTTTATGCAAAGTTTGGGATATTTAAAATACACATGCAAGTTTAGAGTGTTAACCTCACATTCCTTCAAAGTGTAGGGTATTTGAATCATTTTTTCCTAAAATAAATAAATACAAAAACATTTGGATAATTTAAGGATATAATGGGATGACTGATGAGACTAGGGGTGGACTAGGCCGGGCAGGCTTCGGGACTAAGAAAACCGGGTCCGGTACTAGCCCGGTTTGTACCAGTACTGATTCAGGTCCGGTTATTATTTTGTTAATTTTGTTTTTTTTTTTAATTAATTCTAGCCCCCAACCCCAAACCGCCTAGCCCCACCCACCTAGCAGCCAACCCAATGGAGAGAAAAAAAATTAATTGGTGACCGTTAAGCCCGGCTCGGGCAGACCACCAAGATAGGAGCTCAAGCCCGCCTCCCTTTTCTACCGAGCCGCGTACTGGGCCTGGTAGCGGTCCTAGAAAATCGGGTCGGGCTGGGCCTAAACATTGGCAGGCCGGTCCCGGGTTTTGTAGCCCTATCCCGGTCCATCCCTAGATGAGACACAAAATTGAAAGATCTCAATGAAAAATAACAGTTAATTAGGTGTAGATTCTTTTCTCACCATAGTGACATAGTCCATAGACGCTCCTCAACAAAGCTGTTCTTGCTACTCAGATAGTCAGATCCAAATCAAAACTAGAAAATATGTAAAAATTAGGTCGCCAAATAAAATAAGCATTTAAATCGGTTTCACCGTCGATCCCAATTAAGTAACGAATGTTGTAGTTTGACCATCTATCTCCAACTTACATAGTATTATCAATGCAAAGTGATCTCTCAAAATTTTCAAAAGACTCTTGGCACGATGGTGTGGGTGATCTGCCACATTTTCAATGCAAAGTGACACCATCTTCCTGCTTTTCAGATGGTCATAGTAGCAATCAGGACCGGCCCTGTATGTAAGGTCTAGAGGCGGAGAATTAAAATGTGTCTAATGTTGCAAAAAAACCTTTTTTCTTATCTAAACTGATATGCATAATAATAAATTAATAATAATAATAATAATATACGGAGTATCAACTATCAAGACATTTATAAAAAATTGTAAAACCCTATTTTGTCTAAATCAATCATATTAAAATGTTGAAGAGCACTCGTCACTTTCGGTTAACAAAAAATGTTGATCTACTCGATAACATTGGAAGAGTATGCGGGATACTCGTGAAAGAATCACCTATGTGAGAGAGAAGAGGGCCGCTTCAAAGGACAACTGTAAAGGCTCAGTTCTTTACAAACTCTTGCAGAACCAGGACGGTGACCCATGGCCAAAACGGGCACACCCATGAGAACGGAACAAAGTTGGAAGGTTCTTGTGTAAAGATAAGGCAATGTTTACACGACGGCAGTATGGTTCAAGGACATCGAGTCTACTAGACAGCCAGTAAATAAACATGTCTTTACAGCGGAAGGTTCACAGGATTAAACCTACCTCTCCGTATGCAAGGATCATCCGGTGAACACAATGTGTCCTCCTGTCTTCGTGTCTTTTTAAGTCTCGAAAATCAATTTTCATTCATGTGGGGGATTGTTGGAAAAATGTGTGAAAAATTGCATTATATGGTAATTTTGGGGAAATTTTTTGAGTGGGGTCCACTTCTGATTTGGGTCGGGTCAAAGTGGTTTCGGATTGTCCTTGTTAAGGGCTACAATTCGATATATGGTACGCTCAAAACGGATAACGGGTGAATGAGAAATCGCTTTTCGAAGTTTACCCGTTGGAATGGAAAAACCTCTGTTCTAAAAATCGTTCTAGGCGCCCGACTAGTCCCCGCCTAGGCGCTAGGCAGGGGTCAGGCGCCCCGATTTTCGTCTAGGCGCTCCGACTAATTGGTTTGCCGTCTAGTTGAATTAATCGGCCGCCTATGGCGCCTAGTTGCCCACCTAAAGCGCCTAATCGGCCGCCTAGGCCACTAGATTTGCCAAACATTATATACCATAATGAAGTTGAGTGATAAGTTATCATATACTACGTATGATTAAATGTGATAATTCTATCTTTCATGTTTGTTAATGTATATGTATATATGTATTTTATACACACAAAAATACAATATTACTTATCATATTTATGCAAAAATATAGATAAAAATGCAATTTTTGTGTCTCTGACTAGTCCCCGACTAGGCGTCCGCCTAGCCGCCTAGGCGCTAGGCGCTGGGCTGACGCCCGACTAGATGTTATTCGGGCGCTGAAATAACTAGGAAAAAGGATGGGTTTCTGTGTTATTTCCCACACCGGAAAACCCAAGGGATTTGCAACCCTTTATAAAGGGACTCCCCCCTTAAGGAGTTAAGATTCCTTAGGGTAAAGGCTCTCTCCACGCGCGCAGGGGGGTGCAAATCAAATCCCAAAATCGGAGAAGAAAAACCGCGACTTGAATGCGCGGGCGACCTGCGGACACAAATGTCGTCCAAAAATCTATCTCTCAAGAGATACGGTTAATTTTTGTTTTCTTCCCAGTCTCGCGCTTCTGAACCGTTACAACAATAAATGCCCAACGTTCTTATCTTTTAATGCAGCGTTAAATGGACAATTCATGGACGATTCAATGTCCAACGGACTGGTCATTGATGTCCAACGTTCAGGTCGATTAATTCATCATTTACACACAACAAATCCTCCTATATAATGACTGGCAGGTGGTTTGCAACAACATACGATCTTATACGTTCTTGCACACTAGCTCACATATTTCTTCAGCTAAAAACACCTCCAGTCTCTCTGAAAAATTCCTGAGTGTTTAGACTTGTTCTCATTCGCTGGAACTTTTGTTTGTGTTCTCAAACATTAGTTCGTAGTCATCGTATCCTGGGAAACGATTGTTGCAACACTCCTAGCACCGTGGGAGGCAACAAATACGTTTTAAGGACATCGTGCGTAGCACGAGCTTTGACTAATTTTGCTTCATCTCCTTTCTTGTTTTTCTCTAGTCATTTTTATTTAATTAATTTATTTTAATTAATTTTCTTTATTTTCCGAAACACACCCAACATGTCTAACAAAATCAACAAGTTATAACACTAACACTCAATAGAAAACAATCAACAATTAAGAAATCAAACAATCAACTATATCAATGGAATCAATTAATAAACTAATCAAATAATCATATTAGACTAATCTGCTTTCGAGTGAATTTGTTTTATGAAATTTTATAAGAATGTTAGCCCGTATAAAGAGAGTGAACTTAAGGTGACAGAGAGGGAGCGGTTGGAGCAAGAAACAATTGTCCATGTGGGAAATATGGAGATTACATTAAGCGAAGAGGATTGTGAATAGCTTAGGGCTGCACGAGAACAAGTGGCGGAATCTGCCGCACAGGTTATCACACTGAAAAATACCGAGGTGGAAATTGTTGAGGGAAAAATGACAATAGCATAATCATTGAAAGGTTAACGAATGCTACTACAATATTGGAAGGGCGATTTACACAGGTGAAATCAAAGAGAAACAAGAAAAATAATATCTCCCAACACCCTCCAGAATTCTTAAAAGGTTAAAATAAATCTAAATTATTCAAGGCTAGTTATATACCTGGGAGGTTATAATTGAATGTAAGTGATTTGAGCAAATTACCTTGTAATGATTTTATTCCCTTAAATCTCATTGGAGATTTGGAGTTTGTTAAATTTGACCAACACAAGAAACAAGAGCATATAAATAATATTGTTGAATTTTGCACTCAAGAAAAAGAAGTAGAACATCACAAATTAGCTACTTTAAAAGTAAAATGTTTTAGGACATCTTCAAAATATCACTCCCTCTGACTAGGGCTGTGCATTAACCGGGTCGGACTGTATTTTAGACCTGAACCGGACCGGAATGGACCGGTCCGGTCCGGACCGGTATAAACCGGTCCGGGTTTCGGTCCTTAGTTTTGGAAGATTCCGGGTTCCGGTCCGGTCCGGGTCAAACCCGGAAAAAACAGGTGCGGACCGGAATGGACCGGTAACCTATTTTCCCGTAAAATATATACTTGCTTTTGTATCATTAGTCATTATGTTTATGACTTATTTTTGTCTTTTATTATATAAACGAATATATACAGAGTTTATATTTGGTGTCTAATTATTTCCTAAGTTGTTATTTATTTATTTATTTATGTGATTTTTCTGCTTTTTATTTGTTTCTTTATTTGCAGGTGCACATGTAGTTTATACGTAGTATATTTTTGGACTTAATTTAGTTTTTATTACTTTATAATAGATTTTGCATTTTAATATACACAAAAGATTGTAGTTTTAATTATTGTGGGAAACTAATTGTTACGATTGAATAGTTTTGATAACTATATTCCAAAATTAATAAATGAGCTAGATAAACAATTATTTAGTCTATTTAGCATATCCACACATAAAATTATAATTTAGAACAACAACATCTAAGCCTTATTCCTAAAAAAATTTGGGACCAACTAAGAACACTCTAAGATAATATTTATTTTTTAAAACCGGGTCAATTAGGGTCAAAACCGGACCGGACCGGAAAATTCAGGCCCGGACCGGTCCGGACCGGTTAGATTCAGGTCCGGTCTTCGGTCCAAAGAAAATGATGATTCCGGTTCCGGTCCGGTCCGGTTTTGCACCGGTGCACACCCCTACCTCTGACACGTTGGAGTGTCATCTATGTCTCATCTCTGACCGACACATAAAATTGTATGATTAATATATATGCAATTGTGCATAGCAAAGAATAAATAAGTAGAACCCCAATATATTTTCTTTAAATATTAAAAATATTTAATGAGGCAAAATATTAAAAAACCATGTATTTTAAAAGTTTAAGTGTATTTAATGTGGACTTTTAAAAGTCTACAAGAGTTTGGGTGTATTCAATATAGACATTTAAAAGTTTCTAAAAGTCTAGGCGTATTCAAATTTCTGTTCATTCTTATGGACTTCTAAAATCACGAATTCTCATGGATTTTTAACTCAATTTTAGTATATTAATTCTCTACAATTGTTTCTTCTTATCACCAAAGATTTCTGTGGACCTTTATAGTCGTCTTCTACTCATCACAACTACACATAGATCTGATTTTAGATTTAGCTAATTATTTAGTCGGGATCACAAACCGGCCAACAAGTATAGGACTAGTACCGGCCGGGATGGTAGGTGGGTACCAGGATGGTCTCAGTATGCAAGATTTGAACATTAAACTTTTATTTTTTTCTATCATTTTACGATAAATAAAGTTGAACAAGGAGTGTCAAGTACTCTCAAGTACTTTGTGGTCTGATGGTATCACTGTGACACTTCTAAGGAGGAGTCACATGTTCGAATCCCATCCCAATTCAAGGATATTGGCCTTAACAAGGAGATTTGCAAAAACAATTGTTGAACAAGGAGTTTCTACATTAATACTTATGCACAAGATAAACTTATCTTTTCAAATTAAAATAAATAAATAAAAATGATATTTTATATGTCAACTTTCGAAGAAAAATGTAGGGGTGAGATTGGTTCAGTTCTTGAATCGTTAATCCCATACCATTTTGGTTCTAGAAGTTTTTAGAAGAAGCGATATAAGAATCGATAGTATTAAATCGGTGCAATTCTGGTACATTGTCAGTTAATCGTTAAGAAAAAAATTAACTATTAGTGTGTTTCATCGTTAAATTGCTAATACATAAAAATATAATTTCAAATTAATAAATATTTAACCGTAAATAAATATACAAAATTCAACAAACTAAAAATGAAAAGAAAACAATTATTAAGAAGAAAAGCTCGATTGCGCCTATGTTTGTACCACATATCGCAATGAGTGTAACACTTGTGTAATTATCAATGTTCACTTTGAGTTTCTTTTTAACAAAAATAAATGTGGATTCTTATGCTTCTTTTATTCTTGTAGAACTCTGCTTTGCTGGATGAATTACATTTGTTTCATTTATTTATTTATTTATTTAATTGTTTTTTTATCATATTACACTTAAGAAATTACTCATGGTAGGACAAAAAATAGTAGTAGAATTTTACCAATCTGACTAAATAAGTAAATATTACATTTCTATCCGTATATATTTAGTTATTATAATTAATTTCTCATATTTCCCTTGCATAACCAAAGTCATTTTGTTGGTAGCGAACTCCAACAACGGAGGCGGACAGGCAAATCGGTAGCAGCGATCTAGGTGAAATTTCAGATTTAAAAGTTGATGATCTTTTTAAAAGTCTATAAACTTAATTCATGGATTTAAAAATCAATAGAATTCATTTTTAAAAAAATCTATGGATTTGAAAGTACAGACTTTTTTAGAAGCCTATGGTTTAAAAAAAGTTCACCACAATCCATATTCAATACACCCTTGTAAGTTGCAAAGTTTAAGAAACAATTGAAAATGAAAAATTGAAATAACTTAGGCAAATGTAGAGTTGATTTCAAAGTTGAGCGAGACAAAGATAGTAATAATAGATAAACTTTTAGTATCAATCACACAAAATGCAATATTGTACATTTATTTGTGATAATAAGTACAAGCATGACTTAACCATACAATATAATTACATGTGTATTTACAAACTATGACATGCTTACGATTTACATTTCTCTTAAGTATGAATATAACTCCTAATATCATTTTTATTTTTATTTTTATTTAAACACCCTTTCAAAGAATTGATTTTTGCTACAAAAATAAATGTACACATATATACAAATCAACCAAAGAATGCTTCAGAAATGTTGGCGAGTTGTTGCTGAAGCTCTAGGATTTCAACTTGAGCGCGATCCCTCACTTCGGCGTCATTCACAGATAAGCTTTTCGACTTGTTCACTATTTTCCTTTGGATGCTTCTCACCTTTCTGTAAGGCCAACGCACCAACCCATCTCTCCTGCATATCTTCTTCATTACGGTAGGGCAGATGTTCATTCTCCTTGCTGCTTCTTCTATGGGAAGATGAAGGTACCCTGCAAAGTCTTTTAATTTCAACTTTCCAGTTCTTTCCCTCTGTGTAGAAAGAGGGATCTTTTGGGGTTTGTTCCCATCCTCTGGTGCATTGTTTTGGTTTGGTATGCCTGGTTGATTCATCAATTGATCACCACCTGTACTTGCAAAAATTATAATGTTATGAGAGTCACCCTTTAGTGCTTGTAGGTTGGTTTTCATTTATTTACAAGTCTTATGACACATTTACTAATAATCCTAAATATGCTATTTTGACTAACTTGTTTATAAAATGTGTTTTTCATACAATACTCTCATATTCCGTATTTTAATAGATTATTCTATTCCAGCAACATTAGTGGTTTTAGTGCGACTAAAAAGTTTTCGCCTAATCAATGAGCTAAATGACATTCCCATAACATAGAGTTGGTCTTATGTACCAAACTTTTCTCCATAGTACCTCGCTTCACTAAAACATAAAAAGTTCTATTATTAGTCCCCAAATTAACTCACCAGAATAAAATTTAAGTTGAAAAATATGCAATTTAGTTTTACTTTGATATTATTTTTCCAAATCATATTAAATTGAGATAGACTAACATCGGAGTAACCAAACTATATAAAAAATGCATAATGCAATGTGAATTTAGTGATAATTCTTTTAGCGTGTTTTAAGTCACATTCAATCGAAGTCCAAAACTGAGATAACGGAATAGAAAACCGGAATGTAGTCCCTAAAAATATACTCCGTATATACATTTATAGATGTGAGCACCTGAAGTTGAAGGAGGTAGTTCAAAAAAGGAGTCAATGTCCAAAAAATCAGTCCCTCCTCCCAATCCAACACTCATAGCATCATAGAACTCCCATAATGGGTCTTGAAGCACAATGTATCCCTCTTGTTTACGATCCTCAAAATACCTAACCAAAAATTGCTTCACCGTATCCGCACTTTCCTTGCAAAAGCTGCAACATGCCGACACAAAAAAAAACCAATGTTACAACTTACAACTATTGTTATTGTGAAATAGTGAACATGTAAGTAGAAAAGGAATTGTAACTACAAATATGAAATAGAAAAAAAAAACATGCTTTTGATTCACTTATAATTGGTAAAAGAAATGAGTGCTGCAACACTTTCGACAAGAAACCATTTTTTTTTTGAAGTAGGATTAAAAATGCTTTTGAAATTCCAAAATTGGACTGCCATGTTTTTATTCCCTAAATAGAAGTAATTACTATCAAACTTTGAGAAGTATCATGTTTAAAGTCTAGTAATACCAAAACGTGATAGTAGTGATAGAGACTTTACTAATCTGAAGAGAGGAGATAAATACTCTAATAAAGTGTATTCTAGAAGGAAGTAGGGTTGTTATTAGTATAGTCTGTTATGAACTAATAACTGCCGGTGGTTAGCCTTAGTTACTATAAAGAGAATACATTTGGAAGTCGTTAGGAGGCTGTTTAGACTTTAGACATTAGTCTTGGGATTGGGGAGTTAGAGACGAGCCTCTCTTTCTTTTCATTTTTGGGCTTCGTCCAGTTGCCTAAGGAGATTCAATAAAAGTTGCCTTTGAGTTCTTGAATCAATTTCTGTAAACTGTTAGATAATCTGCAGGTTCTAACAAGTAGTTACTCCAGTTTAGGGAATACAAATATAAAAATTATATTTTGAAATTCATAAACGTTTTTACTCCTATTTTGTGCAATTTCTTTTAGGAGTAAACATTGTAAAGGGAATAAAAATCAGAGGACACCATGTTCATAGTCAGGGGGCTATGCCAAGCTTCGACTGATCGAAACTCTATAAATCCTTCAATTTATAGGTAACAAATTTTGTGTAGTACAAGTAATTTATATGAAAAGGTCCTTAGTGGTCAAGGTTTGCAGAAATATAAGCAGGATTAATTAATTAACTAATAATCTTACTCGAAAGTTTGGTACTGTGGATGTAGAGAAAAGTCCGAAGAGAGTTTCTCTATGACCGCATGAGTGATCATTCCAATACTTCCATGCAATTGAAGTTTCCATATATGCAAACCTAACAAAGTGATCATTACCAAGTATGAGAGCACAGACCAACAATTCTATCCATGCTATATACATGCAATGTCGCAACTTATGAGCACGAAAATTCAAGAAAAATACTACATTTCCATTTCAAAAACTCTATATATATATAACAGGTATGTAGTACTATGTAAATATGTAAAACTTGAAATTTAGAAACTTTAATTTGCTGTACAACACGCACCATTTGTATGACTTATTTCACGAAGGACCAAACAGGCATTACAGATAGACGTCGGAGACGGTAAAGTCATTGCTGGCCATATAGCAGTAGTCGGTGTTGTCGAATTCTCTGCGTACTCTGGATCACCATGACCATTAACCTCTGGGAAAGTTCTTGAAACTCCGGCGTCTGGGAAGCACTCCTGAAGTAATAATTCTTCAAGCAGAGGGTCCGCATAGGTATTAAAGGCAGCATTTGGTTGACCAGGAAACTGATGAACGTCGTTAAAAGGACAACCTGGTTGTGAGAGAGTGGGATTATTTGGAGGGTCGGCAGGTTCCTGACTCCATTGCAGTTCCGGGAAGGTGTTTGGAATTTCATGGCTTTGATTCAATGGAAGAGGAGGGTGATCAAAAGGATGGGGATGAGGGAGAAGGGCAGATCCGAAGTTTGAAGGGCCTGCCATTTTCCGGCCCTATTGGGCCCCACGATATGACAGTTAAACTTGGCGGTATGAAGGCGAGAGTGAAAAGAGGCAGCAGAAATGAAATGGTTGTATTTTAGGAAATGGATAGAATAGTCTGCGCGGGAAGTAATAAACCGTTAATGACCATTTGCTTTAGTGTTTTGAGTTTTAAATTCAAGTTTTAATAATTAATTTCAAGTTAATTTATTACTTCTTCTAGTCTACGTTACAAAATTTGAAATTAGCTTTGAAAATAATTTTAAATTTTCATTCTTAAATATTCATTCATTATCATTACCCCATTGCCCAAAAGGTTTCCACACTTTCGGAGGGGTAAGGGGGGGTCGGATGTACTAGTTTTACCCCTGTACTAAAGCACAGAGAAACCGTTTTCGGATGACCCATTAAATATTATTGAAATAAAATTTATTTGCGAAATTATCATTAAAAGTCCTAATGCGCACACCATTTTCTTATATTTGATAAATTGTTAAACCAAATTTTACACTAATACTCAAACATATTTTTTTACTCTGGGACCGGCCGGGGCTCATGATGATTATTCAATTTCAATTACTCCATAATATTTATTTCCCCAAAAGTAGCTAGCACCCTCATTTGGACAATCTGTTTATTTAGGCCTGTTAAAAATCAACCCACAAAAACCTTGGCCCAATCTGATTACAAAAAGCTCTAGTCTGCCCTAAATTTGTATTGCCCATTCGAAGTAAGCCCAGTAGACATTTCACGCCGCTTCTCAATATCTCAACGCTCCTCTTTAACCTATCGCTCCTTCTTGCTAACCAAACACCGCTTCTCTCTAAAACTTCTAGAACTTGTTTACTTGACAGGTTACTAAGCGGTACTTATTAAGACTTGCGTTAATAAGAGACACATAAAATAAGTAGTACTATAAGCTCACGTTTACTTCCTAGATTTAAACGGTGTATGAGCTGCAGTGCTATGAGCTTATACCCCCTACCTGTCCAGTACCCCTACCCCTACTCCTACTCATTCGGGCGCCGAATGAGAAATCGCTTTTCGAAGTTTACCCGTTGGAATGGAAAAACCTCTGTTCTAAAAATCGTTCTAGGCGCCCGACTAGTCCCCGCCTAGGCGCTAGGCAGGGGTCAGGCGCCCCGATTTTCGTCTAGGCGCTCCGACTAATTGGTTTGCCGTCTAGTTGAATTAATCGGCCGCCTATGGCGCCTAGTTGCCCACCTAAAGCGCCTAATCGGCCGCCTAGGCCACTAGATTTGCCAAACATTATATACCATAATGAAGTTGAGTGATAAGTTATCATATACTACGTATGATTAAATGTGATAATTCTATCTTTCATGTTTGTTAATGTATATGTATATATGTATTTTATACACACAAAAATACAATATTACTTATCATATTTATGCAAAAATATAGATAAAAATGCAATTTTTGTGTCTCCGACTAGTCCCCGACTAGGCGTCCGCCTAGCCGCCTAGGCGCTAGGCGCTGGGCTGACGCCCGACTAGATGTTATTCGGGCGCTGAAATAACTAGGAAAAAGGATGGGTTTCTGTGTTATTTCCCACACCGGAAAACCCAAGGGATTTGCAACCCTTTATAAAGGGACTCCCCCCTTAAGGAGTTAAGATTCCTTAGGGTAAAGGCTCTCTCCACGCGCGCAGGGGGGTGCAAATCAAATCCCAAAATCGGAGAAGAAAAACCGCGACTTGAATGCGCGGGCGACCTGCGGACACAAATGTCGTCCAAAAATCTATCTCTCAAGAGATACGGTTAATTTTTGTTTTCTTCCCAGTCTCGCGCTTCTGAACCGTTACAACAATAAATGCCCAACGTTCTTATCTTTTAATGCAGCGTTAAATGGACAATTCATGGACGATTCAATGTCCAACGGACTGGTCATTGATGTCCAACGTTCAGGTCGATTAATTCATCATTTACACACAACAAATCCTCCTATATAATGACTGGCAGGTGGTTTGCAACAACATACGATCTTATACGTTCTTGCACACTAGCTCACATATTTCTTCAGCTAAAAACACCTCCAGTCTCTCTGAAAAATTCCTGAGTGTTTAGACTTGTTCTCATTCGCTGGAACTTTTGTTTGTGTTCTCAAACATTAGTTCGTAGTCATCGTATCCTGGGAAACGATTGTTGCAACACTCCTAGCACCGTGGGAGGCAACAAATACGTTTTAAGGACATCGTGCGTAGCACGAGCTTTGACTAATTTTGCTTCATCTCCTTTCTTGTTTTTCTCTAGTCATTTTTATTTAATTAATTTATTTTAATTAATTTTCTTTATTTTCCGAAACACACCCAACATGTCTAACAAAATCAACAAGTTATAACACTAACACTCAATAGAAAACAATCAACAATTAAGAAATCAAACAATCAACTATATCAATGGAATCAATTAATAAACTAATCAAATAATCATATTAGACTAATCTGCTTTCGAGTGAATTTGTTTTATGAAATTTTATAAGAATGTTAGCCCGTATAAAGAGAGTGAACTTAAGGTGACAGAGAGGGAGCGGTTGGAGCAAGAAACAATTGTCCATGTGGGAAATATGGAGATTACATTAAGCGAAGAGGATTGTGAATAGCTTAGGGCTGCACGAGAACAAGTGGCGGAATCTGCCGCACAGGTTATCACACTGAAAAATACCGAGGTGGAAATTGTTGAGGGAAAAATGACAATAGCATAATCATTGAAAGGTTAACGAATGCTACTACAATATTGGAAGGGCGATTTACACAGGTGAAATCAAAGAGAAACAAGAAAAATAATATCTCCCAACACCCTCCAGAATTCTTAAAAGGTTAAAATAAATCTAAATTATTCAAGGCTAGTTATATACCTGGGAGGTTATAATTGAATGTAAGTGATTTGAGCAAATTACCTTGTAATGATTTTATTCCCTTAAATCTCATTGGAGATTTGGAGTTTGTTAAATTTGACCAACACAAGAAACAAGAGCATATAAATAATATTGTTGAATTTTGCACTCAAGAAAAAGAAGTAGAACATCACAAATTAGCTACTTTAAAAGTAAAATGTTTTAGGACATCTTCAAAATATCACTCCCTCTGACTAGGGCTGTGCATTAACCGGGTCGGACTGTATTTTAGACCTGAACCGGACCGGAATGGACCGGTCCGGTCCGGACCGGTATAAACCGGTCCGGGTTTCGGTCCTTAGTTTTGGAAGATTCCGGGTTCCGGTCCGGTCCGGGTCAAACCCGGAAAAAACAGGTGCGGACCGGAATGGACCGGTAACCTATTTTCCCGTAAAATATATACTTGCTTTTGTATCATTAGTCATTATGTTTATGACTTATTTTTGTCTTTTATTATATAAACGAATATATACAGAGTTTATATTTGGTGTCTAATTATTTCCTAAGTTGTTATTTATTTATTTATTTATGTGATTTTTCTGCTTTTTATTTGTTTCTTTATTTGCAGGTGCACATGTAGTTTATACGTAGTATATTTTTGGACTTAATTTAGTTTTTATTACTTTATAATAGATTTTGCATTTTAATATACACAAAAGATTGTAGTTTTAATTATTGTGGGAAACTAATTGTTACGATTGAATAGTTTTGATAACTATATTCCAAAATTAATAAATGAGCTAGATAAACAATTATTTAGTCTATTTAGCATATCCACACATAAAATTATAATTTAGAACAACAACATCTAAGCCTTATTCCTAAAAAAATTTGGGACCAACTAAGAACACTCTAAGATAATATTTATTTTTTAAAACCGGGTCAATTAGGGTCAAAACCGGACCGGACCGGAAAATTCAGGCCCGGACCGGTCCGGACCGGTTAGATTCAGGTCCGGTCTTCGGTCCAAAGAAAATGATGATTCCGGTTCCGGTCCGGTCCGGTTTTGCACCGGTGCACACCCCTACCTCTGACACGTTGGAGTGTCATCTATGTCTCATCTCTGACCGACACATAAAATTGTATGATTAATATATATGCAATTGTGCATAGCAAAGAATAAATAAGTAGAACCCCAATATATTTTCTTTAAATATTAAAAATATTTAATGAGGCAAAATATTAAAAAACCATGTATTTTAAAAGTTTAAGTGTATTTAATGTGGACTTTTAAAAGTCTACAAGAGTTTGGGTGTATTCAATATAGACATTTAAAAGTTTCTAAAAGTCTAGGCGTATTCAAATTTCTGTTCATTCTTATGGACTTCTAAAATCACGAATTCTCATGGATTTTTAACTCAATTTTAGTATATTAATTCTCTACAATTGTTTCTTCTTATCACCAAAGATTTCTGTGGACCTTTATAGTCGTCTTCTACTCATCACAACTACACATAGATCTGATTTTAGATTTAGCTAATTATTTAGTCGGGATCACAAACCGGCCAACAAGTATAGGACTAGTACCGGCCGGGATGGTAGGTGGGTACCAGGATGGTCTCAGTATGCAAGATTTGAACATTAAACTTTTATTTTTTTCTATCATTTTACGATAAATAAAGTTGAACAAGGAGTGTCAAGTACTCTCAAGTACTTTGTGGTCTGATGGTATCACTGTGACACTTCTAAGGAGGAGTCACATGTTCGAATCCCATCCCAATTCAAGGATATTGGCCTTAACAAGGAGATTTGCAAAAACAATTGTTGAACAAGGAGTTTCTACATTAATACTTATGCACAAGATAAACTTATCTTTTCAAATTAAAATAAATAAATAAAAATGATATTTTATATGTCAACTTTCGAAGAAAAATGTAGGGGTGAGATTGGTTCAGTTCTTGAATCGTTAATCCCATACCATTTTGGTTCTAGAAGTTTTTAGAAGAAGCGATATAAGAATCGATAGTATTAAATCGGTGCAATTCTGGTACATTGTCAGTTAATCGTTAAGAAAAAAATTAACTATTAGTGTGTTTCATCGTTAAATTGCTAATACATAAAAATATAATTTCAAATTAATAAATATTTAACCGTAAATAAATATACAAAATTCAACAAACTAAAAATGAAAAGAAAACAATTATTAAGAAGAAAAGCTCGATTGCGCCTATGTTTGTACCACATATCGCAATGAGTGTAACACTTGTGTAATTATCAATGTTCACTTTGAGTTTCTTTTTAACAAAAATAAATGTGGATTCTTATGCTTCTTTTATTCTTGTAGAACTCTGCTTTGCTGGATGAATTACATTTGTTTCATTTATTTATTTATTTATTTAATTGTTTTTTTATCATATTACACTTAAGAAATTACTCATGGTAGGACAAAAAATAGTAGTAGAATTTTACCAATCTGACTAAATAAGTAAATATTACATTTCTATCCGTATATATTTAGTTATTATAATTAATTTCTCATATTTCCCTTGCATAACCAAAGTCATTTTGTTGGTAGCGAACTCCAACAACGGAGGCGGACAGGCAAATCGGTAGCAGCGATCTAGGTGAAATTTCAGATTTAAAAGTTGATGATCTTTTTAAAAGTCTATAAACTTAATTCATGGATTTAAAAATCAATAGAATTCATTTTTAAAAAAATCTATGGATTTGAAAGTACAGACTTTTTTAGAAGCCTATGGTTTAAAAAAAGTTCACCACAATCCATATTCAATACACCCTTGTAAGTTGCAAAGTTTAAGAAACAATTGAAAATGAAAAATTGAAATAACTTAGGCAAATGTAGAGTTGATTTCAAAGTTGAGCGAGACAAAGATAGTAATAATAGATAAACTTTTAGTATCAATCACACAAAATGCAATATTGTACATTTATTTGTGATAATAAGTACAAGCATGACTTAACCATACAATATAATTACATGTGTATTTACAAACTATGACATGCTTACGATTTACATTTCTCTTAAGTATGAATATAACTCCTAATATCATTTTTATTTTTATTTTTATTTAAACACCCTTTCAAAGAATTGATTTTTGCTACAAAAATAAATGTACACATATATACAAATCAACCAAAGAATGCTTCAGAAATGTTGGCGAGTTGTTGCTGAAGCTCTAGGATTTCAACTTGAGCGCGATCCCTCACTTCGGCGTCATTCACAGATAAGCTTTTCGACTTGTTCACTATTTTCCTTTGGATGCTTCTCACCTTTCTGTAAGGCCAACGCACCAACCCATCTCTCCTGCATATCTTCTTCATTACGGTAGGGCAGATGTTCATTCTCCTTGCTGCTTCTTCTATGGGAAGATGAAGGTACCCTGCAAAGTCTTTTAATTTCAACTTTCCAGTTCTTTCCCTCTGTGTAGAAAGAGGGATCTTTTGGGGTTTGTTCCCATCCTCTGGTGCATTGTTTTGGTTTGGTATGCCTGGTTGATTCATCAATTGATCACCACCTGTACTTGCAAAAATTATAATGTTATGAGAGTCACCCTTTAGTGCTTGTAGGTTGGTTTTCATTTATTTACAAGTCTTATGACACATTTACTAATAATCCTAAATATGCTATTTTGACTAACTTGTTTATAAAATGTGTTTTTCATACAATACTCTCATATTCCGTATTTTAATAGATTATTCTATTCCAGCAACATTAGTGGTTTTAGTGCGACTAAAAAGTTTTCGCCTAATCAATGAGCTAAATGACATTCCCATAACATAGAGTTGGTCTTATGTACCAAACTTTTCTCCATAGTACCTCGCTTCACTAAAACATAAAAAGTTCTATTATTAGTCCCCAAATTAACTCACCAGAATAAAATTTAAGTTGAAAAATATGCAATTTAGTTTTACTTTGATATTATTTTTCCAAATCATATTAAATTGAGATAGACTAACATCGGAGTAACCAAACTATATAAAAAATGCATAATGCAATGTGAATTTAGTGATAATTCTTTTAGCGTGTTTTAAGTCACATTCAATCGAAGTCCAAAACTGAGATAACGGAATAGAAAACCGGAATGTAGTCCCTAAAAATATACTCCGTATATACATTTATAGATGTGAGCACCTGAAGTTGAAGGAGGTAGTTCAAAAAAGGAGTCAATGTCCAAAAAATCAGTCCCTCCTCCCAATCCAACACTCATAGCATCATAGAACTCCCATAATGGGTCTTGAAGCACAATGTATCCCTCTTGTTTACGATCCTCAAAATACCTAACCAAAAATTGCTTCACCGTATCCGCACTTTCCTTGCAAAAGCTGCAACATGCCGACACAAAAAAAAACCAATGTTACAACTTACAACTATTGTTATTGTGAAATAGTGAACATGTAAGTAGAAAAGGAATTGTAACTACAAATATGAAATAGAAAAAAAAACATGCTTTTGATTCACTTATAATTGGTAAAAGAAATGAGTGCTGCAACACTTTCGACAAGAAACCATTTTTTTTTTGAAGTAGGATTAAAAATGCTTTTGAAATTCCAAAATTGGACTGCCATGTTTTTATTCCCTAAATAGAAGTAATTACTATCAAACTTTGAGAAGTATCATGTTTAAAGTCTAGTAATACCAAAACGTGATAGTAGTGATAGAGACTTTACTAATCTGAAGAGAGGAGATAAATACTCTAATAAAGTGTATTCTAGAAGGAAGTAGGGTTGTTATTAGTATAGTCTGTTATGAACTAATAACTGCCGGTGGTTAGCCTTAGTTACTATAAAGAGAATACATTTGGAAGTCGTTAGGAGGCTGTTTAGACTTTAGACATTAGTCTTGGGATTGGGGAGTTAGAGACGAGCCTCTCTTTCTTTTCATTTTTGGGCTTCGTCCAGTTGCCTAAGGAGATTCAATAAAAGTTGCCTTTGAGTTCTTGAATCAATTTCTGTAAACTGTTAGATAATCTGCAGGTTCTAACAAGTAGTTACTCCAGTTTAGGGAATACAAATATAAAAATTATATTTTGAAATTCATAAACGTTTTTACTCCTATTTTGTGCAATTTCTTTTAGGAGTAAACATTGTAAAGGGAATAAAAATCAGAGGACACCATGTTCATAGTCAGGGGGCTATGCCAAGCTTCGACTGATCGAAACTCTATAAATCCTTCAATTTATAGGTAACAAATTTTGTGTAGTACAAGTAATTTATATGAAAAGGTCCTTAGTGGTCAAGGTTTGCAGAAATATAAGCAGGATTAATTAATTAACTAATAATCTTACTCGAAAGTTTGGTACTGTGGATGTAGAGAAAAGTCCGAAGAGAGTTTCTCTATGACCGCATGAGTGATCATTCCAATACTTCCATGCAATTGAAGTTTCCATATATGCAAACCTAACAAAGTGATCATTACCAAGTATGAGAGCACAGACCAACAATTCTATCCATGCTATATACATGCAATGTCGCAACTTATGAGCACGAAAATTCAAGAAAAATACTACATTTCCATTTCAAAAACTCTATATATATATAACAGGTATGTAGTACTATGTAAATATGTAAAACTTGAAATTTAGAAACTTTAATTTGCTGTACAACACGCACCATTTGTATGACTTATTTCACGAAGGACCAAACAGGCATTACAGATAGACGTCGGAGACGGTAAAGTCATTGCTGGCCATATAGCAGTAGTCGGTGTTGTCGAATTCTCTGCGTACTCTGGATCACCATGACCATTAACCTCTGGGAAAGTTCTTGAAACTCCGGCGTCTGGGAAGCACTCCTGAAGTAATAATTCTTCAAGCAGAGGGTCCGCATAGGTATTAAAGGCAGCATTTGGTTGACCAGGAAACTGATGAACGTCGTTAAAAGGACAACCTGGTTGTGAGAGAGTGGGATTATTTGGAGGGTCGGCAGGTTCCTGACTCCATTGCAGTTCCGGGAAGGTGTTTGGAATTTCATGGCTTTGATTCAATGGAAGAGGAGGGTGATCAAAAGGATGGGGATGAGGGAGAAGGGCAGATCCGAAGTTTGAAGGGCCTGCCATTTTCCGGCCCTATTGGGCCCCACGATATGACAGTTAAACTTGGCGGTATGAAGGCGAGAGTGAAAAGAGGCAGCAGAAATGAAATGGTTGTATTTTAGGAAATGGATAGAATAGTCTGCGCGGGAAGTAATAAACCGTTAATGACCATTTGCTTTAGTGTTTTGAGTTTTAAATTCAAGTTTTAATAATTAATTTCAAGTTAATTTATTACTTCTTCTAGTCTACGTTACAAAATTTGAAATTAGCTTTGAAAATAATTTTAAATTTTCATTCTTAAATATTCATTCATTATCATTACCCCATTGCCCAAAAGGTTTCCACACTTTCGGAGGGGTAAGGGGGGGTCGGATGTACTAGTTTTACCCCTGTACTAAAGCACAGAGAAACCGTTTTCGGATGACCCATTAAATATTATTGAAATAAAATTTATTTGCGAAATTATCATTAAAAGTCCTAATGCGCACACCATTTTCTTATATTTGATAAATTGTTAAACCAAATTTTACACTAATACTCAAACATATTTTTTTACTCTGGGACCGGCCGGGGCTCATGATGATTATTCAATTTCAATTACTCCATAATATTTATTTCCCCAAAAGTAGCTAGCACCCTCATTTGGACAATCTGTTTATTTAGGCCTGTTAAAAATCAACCCACAAAAACCTTGGCCCAATCTGATTACAAAAAGCTCTAGTCTGCCCTAAATTTGTATTGCCCATTCGAAGTAAGCCCAGTAGACATTTCACGCCGCTTCTCAATATCTCAACGCTCCTCTTTAACCTATCGCTCCTTCTTGCTAACCAAACACCGCTTCTCTCTAAAACTTCTAGAACTTGTTTACTTGACAGGTTACTAAGCGGTACTTATTAAGACTTGCGTTAATAAGAGACACATAAAATAAGTAGTACTATAAGCTCACGTTTACTTCCTAGATTTAAACGGTGTATGAGCTGCAGTGCTATGAGCTTATACCCCCTACCTGTCCAGTACCCCTACCCCTACTCCTACGTTGGGGGTAGGGATAAGGTATGAGTATGGGTAGGGGAGGGGTATGAGTATGGGTAGGGGAGGGGTACGGGTATGGGTAGGTTGGGGTGGGGTAGAGGTAACGGTAAGGGTGAAAAAGCTTAAACTGCCGCTTAATTTATACATGGGAGTGGTATGCTTTGTAAGTGGCACTTAAATCACCTGTTTTGGTTAGTAAGCAGCCTGTGTGTTTATTTCATATGTCTTACTAACCGAACTGTTTTTAGTAGTGGTCATAAGTGCATTGACCAATATGAGTATGTAATCTTCAAATTTTGTTTTATTTGAAACCATTGCTTCTAAAATAGTAAAATCTAATCTCTTTATACATTTAATCTTCACGCATTTGAAAAAACTTTGAAACGTTATGTAGTTTTATATTTCCTCCAATCTATTCCTTGCTAAGACTTACATATTCAAATACTCCTTCAAAATGTTGTTTAAAACTGGATATTCTGAGCAATTTTTTAGCAGTTAATTCTGGTTTAACAGGAAACATTTATATAAGCTAATATTCTTTTAATATATCTTTATAACATTACAAATGCTTGGTAATATAAATACTAACAATTTTCTTAAGTGAAAAAATATCCTTATATAGAAATATAAGGATACTAATAAAACAGTAAAATGTAAAGATGAATAACGGTTAATTCGACATATTTGATTTAAAGTGTACCCGAAAAAGTGCTCTAGTCCACTTGTTTTCAATGCTTGTACTGTTACTTGATTTTCTAATGGTACTTTCTTGGATTACCACCAGTCCACCACCTTAGCCTCGTTAACTTGTAAGTGTTTCTTCCTCATTGAGAATTGATTGTAGCCAATGGTGCTCAGCCTGTTGGTAGTACCACCCTGTCCCAAATAATATCACGGTAACAATAAATTAGAAGTATCAAATATTGGCTAATATCAAATAAAAATATTAAAAATTACTAATCTGAGACAGGAAGTATGAAATAGATGTTGTAGAAGTATAGAACAACAAATACATCAGTATTTTAGTAACTAGTTGAATTCACATATACGTGAAAGTTCTGTCCAGGAAACTGCAAAATAAAAACTGCTGAATGGAAACCGCCAGAAATAACTGTGAGAATTCCGAGGGTGTGGCGCGCTTATGATGTAATTCGTAATTTTTATCTGAAAAGGCCACATAGGTTGTTTTTAATAAGGAAACACATCTGTCAGATTTTACCTAATCAGATTTGCATGTTGAAACTGGTACCTTTACATTTTCAATAATTTATTTAGCCCGAATTGGTGTTTCTATTTGATCAATGATCACGTGTTTGCACTTCGATGTATCAGCTATATGTATATACTAAAAAGGAATCGGGCGTGAATAGGGTTTTCCCGGCCTGTTCCATTTTTATGTATATAAAGATAAAGATTTGAAGTTTTTAATCTTACATATTTTAACTTATCTATCAACTGCTTTACAAAAAAAACTTATCTATGAACTATTCTGATATATTGGACTGAATATTGTCGTATTCCTATGATTCCTAAAGGAATGGGTCTGTTTATGAAGTTTTTTTATTCAAACCATCACAAGACTCTAGGAAGTTTGCTGGGTTTGTTAGCATTTTTGGGTTAAAATGGCACGGTATACTAATCGTATACATCCTTTCAACGATTTTATAAAACCTTGTACTATAACTTTTTTTTAAAGTCGTGTAATTCAATCTAGTAAGTCCTTATCGTATGAATAATGCTGGTGTTTTTCTATATGCTTTTCCACTACATAATTTCTGTGTACGTCTTTCAAGCAATGGCGTTGATCTATTTTGCAAGTACCTGTGATGTTATTTTTAAGGGAAGGATGAGAAATATGGTTATAGTTATTGCTAAGGCAGTAACAATAAGTGCTATGAAATTTGTTTGAGGTTTTTTACCAAACACTTTGTAAGCATGAAGTATAGTTTTTTTAATAACAAGAAATCCACATTTGGTGAATCCTGAAAGTGTTTATATCAGCAATATCTAGTGAATATAAACAGCAGACCAGCAGTGAACTTGAAGCAAAACAATGCTTAAGTGGCTGGCCGGATAAAACTTGCTCTTAAAGTAGAGCAATTAAGTGGAGCAATTCGCTGTTGTACTTGTAAATTAAAGCATACTAAGTATTGCTGTGTATTTGTTATGTTTTGGACGAAATCTAAGGCAATGAAGGAAGATAACACGAATTAGTGCATATTGTAGGAGTAATGCTAAAGAAGAAATAGACGCATTTAGAAATGGAGGTGTAAGAAGGATTAGTACCTGTTCTTTGTCGCACAATGAGATGAGAAGGGGAAGAAACAATACTGATCCTCTCCATTTGGAACTCGGAAGTGAATGTAATAACCTTCTCGTACCGTTGGCGCCGGTTGATGCCTGTTGATAACCGTAACAGAATTTTGAACTGCCGTTGCAAATGCAAAGGGCGGTTAACAGCTACCCTTATTTCTATTTTCGAACCCTTATTTCGAGTCTTTCCGTCTCAATGAAATGTTATATTGAACGGGAAAGGATCAGGCTAACCAAGCGGATGACCGGGAAAAAATCACCAAAAATTACACTTTTTTTATATACACACTTTTATACAAGTCTATTTAAGATTTTTTCTTACACAGACATGTGTAAAAGTGTGTACACCAAAAAGTGTGTACCCCAAGAGTACAATTAAGTACTATGCTCAAAAGTGAAGATCTCATTTTTTTATTTTAGAACTGTTTTTATTGGATAATTAAGTACTAGTATTTTTATAGAAAAAACATACAAAAATTAAAATTGACCAGTATTTTTTAATTCTTGGACACTTTTTAATGGCATGTTTGATATACATCTTTCGTATTTTTACTTTTTCAATCTTCAAACATCCTCACAAAGGAATATTTGCATCCTCCTCTCTAGTTTTTTTAACTTTAAGAATTCTTGACTTCTCATACCATAGTTTGATATTGTCATTGATTTTTCCAATAAGTCCAAAAGTTGTAACTAGGGTGGTTTCAGTATCGATTTTGTATCCGGATAGGAGGTGGGCGAGAAAATCACTCAGATCGGATTGAAAATTGTAACTTGAAATAAGCTCAACTTGAATACGATTCTTGTTCCTCCAAATTGGGACTAGACCGAATCGATTAAATGTTTTTGTAAACGTAGTACATAACCGTATTAGGAATGGTATTGAAAAAAGAATTAGACCTTACACGAAAGAAAGCTAGGAGTGGAAAACTGCAAGGACATGTGCACCGTTCCATAAGTGGAAAACTGCAAGGACATGTGCACCGTTCCATCATAACTAGCGGTTAAAGAGTTACAAGTGAAATAAATTTAGAAATGAGTATCAGACATGTCATTGACACAATAATTGGATATAAACGTTATTTTGCGTCAACTTGTTGAAACTATTGGATCATCTCTCTTTGTGTGAGGTCTTGATTTGGAGTCACCAAAGAGGATGAGAGGAAAAATTGTTTCCTCCTTTCGATGAGAACCCGAGACATGTTGGTTATATACAGTGGCCCCTTATGCATTATACGTCATTGAGAATTTGAAAGATCATGATTCATGAATAGCCAAACGAAGCAATTGCCATAGAAAATTGCATGTACAAAAGAACAATTAATAATAAATATAAATTTGAACTTTTTTCGAGTCATATGTGTTCTATGCTGCAGTCTAGGACATGCATGTTCTTTGATAATCTGAGAATAAATTTGTTCCAAATAGCTAACTTTTGTATTTAATTTTTTAAAATAAATCTGAAGGGTGAATTTTTTCTATATTAGTTTATGAGATTATAAGTTCCATCTCATTTACATTAATCTTATACAACCATTTGTCAAAACTTTGTTCAGCATATAATTATTAACAATTTTAAATCCATTATAATTGGCAAGGTCTTGGCAATAATGTCTAATAGAACTTATAAAAGATGCCGCTATAGAGTATTGAATATAATGCAGTGATAGAGCCACAAAAATATCTCATAGGGGTCAAAACTTATACACATACAACATCAAAATAGAGGTCGCCATGCATGTCTGATCATTTAAAGAAAATGTTAGAGTTAAACAATTCATATGTAGATGAGATAAATGTAAGTCCAAAGATTTATATTTGATATATATATATATATATATATATATATATATATATATATATATATATAGTACTCTTCTCGTCATCCAGGCCGGCCTGACGGGAATCTCCTTCCGGCCGAGCCCGTTTGGGCACCTTCCCGGTGGAATGTTTTGATGAAATTTTTTGAGCATGTTCCTTATCAAGTCTAGTTTGTCCATACCAAATTTCAGCTCAAAATTCGATTGGGAAGGCATTCAAATCATTTTTTGAAGTTGACTGCGTCAAAATATACATATAAAACTGCAGTCAACTTCAAAAAATGATTTGAATGCCTTCCCGATCGAATTTTGAGCTGAAATTTGGTATGGACAAACTAGACTTGATGAGGAACATGCTCAAAAAAATTCATCAAAAAATTCCACCGGGAAGGTGCTTAAACGGGCTCGGCCGGACGGAGCAGCCCGTCAGGCCGGCCAGACATGAACTTTCCTCTATATATATATATAGGGAGAATTTGATTTTGCACCCCATGTTTTGGGTAATATTTGACTTTGCACCATATTTTCAAAATCATGAATGTATGCACCCCAATTCACTATAAAATCATTTGATTTTGCACCCCACTCCTTCACAATTTTTGGGCTAATGGGGTGCATACATTAATGATTTTAAAAATGGGGTGCAAACTCAAATATCACCCAAAACATGGGGTGCAAACTCAAATTCTCCCATATATATATTGGTTCAGGTGAGAAATGCATCTAATGTGAGAAATGAGAATGAATCTCAGCCATTAGATTTACGAAGTTGCACTAAAATTGGCTTTATGTTGCAGTAATATTTAAATTTTGCACATGTTGCACTAAAATTGTTTCATGTTGCACTAATATTTGACGACGTTGCACCGAAATAGCTTCATGTTGCACTAGACACGTGTGATACGGATTTTTCAGAAGTATTTACAGAAATGCCACCGTGCTAGTTTGCATATTTCAGTACATCATGAAGTGTCTTTTACTGCAACTTAGTCAAATCTAATGGCTGAGATTCATTCTCATTTCTCACCCAAAGGGTCCTCACTTGAACCTTACCCTATATATATATATAGAACTCTTCTTGTCAGGCCGGCCTGACGGGAACCTCCGTCCGGCCGAGCCCGTTTGGGCACCTTCCCGGTGGAATTTTTTGATGAACTTTTTTGAACATGTTCCTCATCAAGTCTAGTTTGTCCATACCAAATTTCAGCTCAAAATTCGACCGGGAAGGCATTCAAATCTTTTTTTGAAGTTGACTGCGTCAAAATATACATATAAAAACGCAGTCAACTTCAAAAAAAGATTTGAATGCCTTCCCGATCGAATTTTGAGCTGAAATTTGGTATGGATAAACTAGACTTGATGAGGAACATGCTAAAAAAAGTTCATCAAAAAATTCCACCGGGAAGGTCGCCAAAAAGGCTCAGCCGGACGGCTCTCCCGGTCAGGCCGGCCTGACATGATGATTTCTATATATATGTGTGTGTAACATCTTAGAGCATCTCCAATGGGGTAGTGGATTGGAGTAAAATCTATCCTACATGGCATAGGAGAGAGATAGAGATAGGATGATTATTTTAATTTAATATGAAGAAAGTGGTGTGTGTGAAAAATGAAAAGGAAGAGAGAGATAAGAGTAAATTGTAGACAATGTCTATGACAATGTCCACAAATAGACATTACACGGGAATCGATGAGCAAAAGTGGATGAAAAGTGGGTTAGAAGTGATATAAAAAAATGAAAATGAAAATAAATATGGAGATATGTAGGTCCTACACATAAAATTTGTGAGATAAAAAATGGGACCCGATTGTAAGAGTGTGTAAGAGAATAGACATCCCCATTGGAGATGCTCTTATAAACTTCCCCATTGGAGATGCTCTTATAAACTTCATTTAGGTATACTTGAGAGTTGAGACACCCACACCTAATAATTTTTACTATGTTAATGAAAATGCATACTCCGAATTACTTTCCAAAAATGCATAGGGTAATTTATTCACAACCCCCATTTTACTTTTATTGAAAACAATCACTATATTTTAATAAAATAAATAAAATAATCAATTTTCCGTCAAGATATAACACAGAGTAGTGAAATGAGATGGGTTTATCACTTTATCTCCCTTCGGACGTGCACTGCCAGTAAATTTGAATTCGGACAATTTCCTTGCAGCTCAACTTGCTCTGCAAAAGTCAGATTCTAAGATTCTTCTTTAGCAAAAACCAGATCCTACAAATAACTTTTATAAAATTACATTCAAATCTGGAAATTTCATCTCCAACCTTAAAATATAATATGTGCTTTAGGGAACTCAGCTATGGATAGTGGGAAACAATGAGTAGCAGTAACAATCCAGCCGGCGGATGTGAAACTATGCTCAATTTCCTACAGAGTATTTCTTTAGTGCAGGCGTCCAGATTTGACGTGGACTAGGGATTGGTGTGGAATGTCTTATGCGTATAATTCTAGTTTTTTTTGGTATTAATGCTAATTAATTAAGTATTTACGAAAATAGGGTTGGATTAAAAGTATTTACGGATATACTGCTGGGTTTAACCCTGGTCGGGGTAAGTCGCCAAACCGTTTGGCGACTTACCCATAAATTAAAGCTGTATTAAGCTACGCCACAGAATGCAAACCTCAAGAAGGCATTATGAACCTCAAGAACCCACCAGTCCGGTCCAGTATCGAGAAAGAAAGTTAAAAAAAAGAGGGGCAAAATTGTCTTTTGAGACCCGTTGAATTTTACGACTAACGTGTTCGCAAGTTGCCCGCGCAGGGGGATGCGAATTTTCGATTCTGAACTAGAAGCCGGAATTCTTGTGTGTGCGAGCGCTAGAGATGACAATTGTGACCGATCCAATGGATACCCGCACCGAACCGCCCCGGTCAAAATGGGGAAAACCGCATTGACCGGGTAACGGGTATGGGGCAGGGAATACCCGTTTTGTTTTTACGGGTAACGGGGCGGTTACGGTTTTATACATGCCCGCCCCATTACCCGCCCCGTACCCGCCCCGTTTATTTTAGTTATATTTTTATTACATTTCTATCTATTATTTGTCCCATGAGTAATAGAAGATAGATTTTTCTATTTTCATTGAGTATATGGATAATAGATGTACTAACTATAATGTTTCCATGAGAGTTCATATAGATCTTATTAGTCTTGTTTGATTATTATCAGATTTTTAGTGACTAATTATTTTTTCAGATTAAGTTGTTTAGGTTCAAATTAATTTACGTTGTCTTCTTTCTCGTCTTGTAGATATACAAAACTTTAAAGGGGCGTCTCATTCTAGAGTTATCTAGGTGATGCCATTTTTTCGCCTTTAAAAATATTATTTTTATATTAAAATATCAATGACTCAGTTAATAAAGTGATTACCCGTTACCCGCGGTTATACCCGTTACCCGTTGGGGCGGATACGGTTTGGGTAAAAATTACCCGTTGGGTAATGGTGCGGTTATGGGGCGGGGAATTATCAAATGGGGCGGGTACGGTTATATGTAAAACCGTCCCCGAACCGCCCCGTTGCCATCCCTAGCGAGCGCTCCCCTCTTCTCATTCACCTTTTAATACTAAGTGAAGAGTGATTCAAATTTATAGACTCAAAAGTCCCTAAGGAGTTTAGGTGCGGGAAAGTTTAAAAGATTCATTTTTCTCCTATACTTGAGAAGAGCATTTTTCATTTTTTCCATCTACCTTCTTTAAGAGCTAGTTTTTGAGCCACTTTAAACTTCAAAGTCCAAAACTCCAACATCAAAGGTCAACACTACAATCAAAGTTTCCAAGAGTCAATCTTGAGATTAAAGAAAAAGAAAAAAAATCTCAAGGTTGACTGTCAGATTTGCTTATCTCAGACTCATCAGAAACTTTAGCGCATTTGTTCTTACACATTGATGAGTTAGAGACATCCATTGCTGATTGTTGAATGTTGATCGTAGACATGAGGTTGATTGAAATTTTCTGCAAATTCCTGGACCTTGAAATGTAACTTGGAGTTTGAAAAAAATAGTCTTAACCTTGAGATTTTTTTTTAATCTCAAGGTCAACACCAAAGGTTGACCCTTGGTGTTGGAGTTTTGGACTTTGAAGTTTGAAGTGGCTCAAAAACTAGCTCTTAAAGAAGGTAGATGGAAAAAATGCTCTTCTCAAGTATAAGAGTAAAATGAATCATTTAAATTTTCTCACACCTAAACTCCTTGGGAACTTTTGAGTCTATAAATATGAAACACGCTTCACTTAGTATTAAAAGGTGAATGAGAAAAGGGGAGCTCTCGCGCACACAAGAATTCCGGCTTCTAGTTCATAATAAAAAATTTGCACCCCCTGCGCGTGCGACCTGCGGACAAGATAGTCGTAAAATTCAGCGGGTCTCAAAAGACAATTTTGCCCCTATTTTTTTAAAACATTCTTTCTCATTACTGGACTGGTGGGTTCTCGAGGTTGATTGAAATTTTCTGCAAATTCATGGACCTTGAAATGTAGCTTGGAGTTTGAGAAAAATGGTCTTAACCTTGAGATTTTTTTTTGTTCTTTTTTTTTTTAACTTAACCCGGTGCTTTAATCTATGGTTAAGTCACCAAACCGGATGACGACTTACCCCGACCAGGGTTAAGCCCAACAGTATATCCGTAAATACTTTTAACCCAACCCTATTTTCATAAATACTTAATTAATTATCATTAATACGGAAAAAATTTCTATAATTCTATCAAAATCATTTAAAATTCATTTGAATAAATAATAAATGAAATCAATGAAATGTTTGAAAAATTTTACACATTCCATTAAAATCCATATTGGAAACACCTAAATTGTGTTATAATTCTAAATAAATTTCATTAACATCTTTAAGAATCCGAGTACATTTTTTTCATAAATTTTGTGTTAAATATGGGTAGAACATTTTTTTAAATAAACATAAACGTGAAAAAGTCAACAACATCCCTCTCTCAAACCATAGTGTCATTATGCTCCGTTTGGATAGAGTGAAGTTAAGTAAATGTAATAATACAATAAAGTAAACTTAAGTTTTAATAAAAACTAGGTTAACCTAAGTGAACCTAGGTCCATAGGTAAAATAGTTTTTGGAAATATAGAAGGTGCACCTAGGTTAATGTAATAAATGTTGTTTGAATGAAGATACTCTAGGTTATTTAATTTAAGGTTCTTTCAGATTCTCGGAGGTTAAGGGAGATTAACACATAACCTAGATTCTTTTTACAAAAATACAAACAAACAGAATTAACTAAAAATTGAACATTCAATAATCTAGATTAACCCTCAAACAAACATGTCAATGTACCATACAAGCCCACAATGGAAGACACACAACAAGCCCCAACCAACTACCCCTGAAACATTATTTGGAAGGGGAGCCACCAACCCCTCTCTCCTTCCTTATCATCATAAATCCCTCCTCCAATTTGAAGCTTTCGTTCTTCCAACAACAGCAGTTGCTGAAAATGGATCCCATAAGAAATCATCTATCCCAAGAAGAAACCCAAGAAGCAGAAGAGCAGCAGATCCAGTCTGCAGTAGCAGCCATTGCTTCACCCCCTCCTTCTCTTCCCATTGCATCAATCTCCCTATCTCTGTCCACAATCCTTCCTACCCACTTCCTAAACCCGCCCAAATTCTTCGTCCAACCCGGCAATATCAAAATCCCAACCCAAATCTCTTCTCTCTCCCGCCTCACCCTCACCGCCCCTCTCTCGCCCGCAAAGCCACTCTTGAAATCCACCGTTTCCGCAAACCCACTACAGAGCCCTCTCTCCTTGAACCCACTCCGCCCCTCCGAGCCATCCGGTGGCGCCGCCGCTCGCCGGTCGACCATCGTTTGGTTCCGGAACGATCTCCGGGTGCACGACAACGAGTGCCTCAACTCCGCCAACAATGAATCCATGTCGGTTTTGCCAGTTTACTGTTTTGACCCAAGAGATTACGGGAAGTCATCATCTGGGTTCGACAAGACTGGGCCATACAGGGCCTCGTTCGTGATTGAGTCAGTTTCGGACCTCCGGAAGAACCTTCAGGCTCGAGGGTCTAATCTTGTGGTCAGAGTTGGGAAGCCAGAGACCGTTCTGGTAGAGCTGGCTAAGGCAGTCGGGGCAGATGCTGTGTATGCTCACCGGGAGATTTCACACGATGAGGTCAAGGCTGAGGAAAAGATTGAGAGTTTGATGAAGGATGAGGGGATTGATGTGAAGTTCTTTTGGGGAAGCACATTATATCATGTTGATGATTTGCCATTTAAGCTGGAGGAAATGCCCACAAATTATGGCGGATTTAAGGAAAAAGTCAAGAGCTTGGAGGTTAGGAATACCATTGAAGCACTGGATCAGTTGAGGGGAATGCCAAGTAGAGGGGATGTTGAGACTGGTGAAATTCCTACTCTTTCTGATTTGGGTCTCAATCCTAGTGCTACTTTGAACCAGGTTATACACACTTTTCTCTTGTTTCTTTTGATAGCTCCCTTTCAAAAAAGCCTTCTTTTTTTGTGTCTTAAGGTAACTAGGAATCAATACTGAGTTCATTTCATTTGCTGCTATAATGTTGTAAATAAGGCTAGGGACCCCACGGTCTGTTTGGATTGAGTGTTAGGAGGTGTTAGTAAAGGAAGTGTTTAGGAGTGTTGAGGTTAACACCTGTTTGGATGTGAAATTTTAAAAAAATAAGGGTGTTAATATGTATTAGAAAGTGGTATAACCTTCTCAACACCTCAATTGCCCACATTTTCAACACCCCAATTTGGGGTGCAAGGAAGTGTCAGACACGTGCTACCCTTCATTTACATGAAAAAAATAAATCCTCACTTTCTTTCTAGTCTGTGCTCATCGTCTCATCTGTCAAGTGGATCTGCTGTTCTTCTCTTCTCAAGCTGGTCATCTCATATGTCCCACTCCATTATTCCTTCGTACAAGCATATCAGGAATTTCGAAAGGTGTAATAAAGATTTATTAGCATATGAGGAATATTCAACTTCTTACTATAATCCATCGTATTAAAAATCCTATTAAATTGGGTAAATGTGAAAGTCGGAAAATTACTTACTCCATTGAATTGAAGAGGCCGACTACGGGAAGCGACAAAACCGAAGCAGGCAAAGAGAATGGCTATTCAAATTGGACTGGGTAACTTTTACCGAAGGAAGGGGAAGATTAATTTCGCCTCTAGCATACAAATAATTAATTAAAAAAGTATAAGGATATTTTTTGTCAATTTATACAAAAACACTTCTTTTATTAACGCTCCATTTTTATGCACTTCCAAACAAGGTAAGTGATACATTCCTTGGTCGGACCTACCAGCGCCGCAGAAAATTAAACTAATTAGTACTGATGTTTTAATTCGTGTGTGTTGGTTAAATAATTAGTATTGTTGTTTTAATTCGTGTGTGTTAGTTTTTTAATCATGGGTTAGTTGTTGGTTATTTTAAAAGAAGTGCTTCCTGCACATACTAGCAGTTTAAGATCATGGATCCACTTTCCTAGTTTTTAGGAGTGGTTGTAACTTCCTGTCTCTATTTAAGGGAAGGATGATTTGAATAAAAAATCTATCAGAAAATTCCCCAATTCGTTTAGCCAGGGAGTTTGGAGAACTCAACAACATCTCCTACTGCACTCTTAGATATATGTATTGTTCTTCTTCCCAAAATAATAATCTGCCCCCCTCAAACCGTGCTGTGACGCGATCCCAAACCCGGGCCTGCAACAATTTGGTATCAGAGCCCGTCGTCATGGGCGACCCAGAACAAACTGCCGCCAAACCCTCCATGAACGCCCGAATGAAGGCACTCGAAGATCAAGTCTCTGCCATACATGCCATGCTCCAACAGCATATGCAAAATCCAAGTCAACCTGATCACACACAGGCTGCTTCCTCTAACAACCATCCACCTTCTGGCGATTTTCATGACAATCAAAGAGATGAACGCCCTGGTTCTGTCTTGCCAAAATACTCTCGTTTAGAGTTCCCAGTATTCAGCGGCAAGGAGGATCCGCTCGGATGGCTCCACAGATGTGAGCAATTTTTCCGTAACCAAAACACCCTGGATGTTGACAAGGTTTCCTTGGCATCATACCACCTGACTGGAGAGGCGACTGGAGAGGCGCAACTGTGGTCTTACAATTTAGAGCTCAGAGAGCCCAACTTACCATGGCACCGCTTCAAACACTTCTGTAAGCTACACTTTGGTCCACCATTGACTGAAAATGCCCTTGGAAATATTGCCAATCTGAAACAAAATAAGGGTCCACTATCCTGCTATAACGAGAAATTTCAAACCCTTCTTGCTCGAGCCACAACTGTCCGTGAAGACCAGTTGGTTGATCTGTATACTTCTGGACTTGATGAAGTATTACGGATGGAAGTTGAGGCCCAACACCCTGTTAGCCTGGAAACAGCCATGAATCTGGCGCGATCCCAAACCCGGGCCTGTAACAGTAAGTTTATGTTTTACACTTACACATACCTTCCCTTTTGGGCCCGTGACAACACTTGCTAACACTTCCATTATGATCACCTTCCAACACTTCATCCAAACAGGCCCTAAAGGACTAAAAGGTGTCAAATTAGGGTCTAGAATTTAGTTGAAGTTAATCAGGGTTAGACTAGAACTTAGTGAAGTAGGGAATCCGATACAAGAAATGTGTAACCTGGAACCGTACCGGATGGAAACGGGTCTAGATCTGATGCCTGGTTTTGGGTACTAGAACTGGAAGTTCTGGGTACAAGCTATAAGTTTTTTCGATTACATCCCGAGAATTGAACCGGAACCGGTAGCCGGTTAGAACCAGCCAATTAATTTCCCCATTCCTGGATCTTGGAACTTTCAGTTCCAGGATCGGAATTGGACCGGTCCGTGTCCAAGCCCATGAAGGATTACTCAGGGAAGATTGATAAAAGAAAAATCAGGAGTTGGCTAGACAAGGGTTGTTGCACAATAGAGTGTTGTACAATATCATCTTTTGGTTGTAGTTGCAATCATGTGCTGAAAGGTGCCAGTCTGCCTGGCTCTATCCGTGGGGCAAACTAGGTCTAGCTTTCAGACAGGGTCTTGCTGGGGTAGTTAGAACTTAGAACGTAGGCAGGTATTAGTCTGGGACTCAGGGTCAAATTGATAAAATTAGAATTAGTGGGTTCTTGTACTTCAATTACTCTTTGTACCATTTTAGAAGTCTTACATTCCTCATTAAACTTCAGTGACATTCTTCTTTTCCAAGTATATCCTTTAATTGTTTGACCAAATACCTTATGTTTGTTTAAAAAAACATGCAAAAACTATTAAGATCTTTAGTTTGGGATATAGAGAGTAAGTTGTACGGCTAGTATCTGTTTAAGACAATAAGTGTCTATGGTTGGTTTCTGGAAGGAGTCACAGACCTCTTGTGTCATTGTTTTGTTAGTCTGATTTTGGCTGTAGAAAGGTTCTTTTCTTATACCGTTGTGATTTGAATGAATTTCCAAATGCAGAACGGAAAGCCTTCTGCTAATGCTTCCCTTTCTGGAGGGGAAACTGAAGCATTGCAGAGACTTAAGAAATTTTGTGCTGAATGCGAAGCTCAACCACCCCCACACGAAGGGAACCACCATGATAGTATATATGGTGCAAACTTCTCCTGCAAAATATCTCCTTGGCTTGCAATGGGATGCCTCTCCCCCCGCTCCATGTTTGATGAATTAAAGAAGTCCACATCAAGGTATGTCACCAGCTAGATGAACAATTTGTTTTTGTTTCCCATAAAACATCAGACTTTGTGTTTATAATGGACCATTACTTACTATATGATTAGCAGAAAACTTTCTGTTGCATCTAACATGAAAGATGGCGGTAATGGCGGCACTGGCGTAAACTGGTTGATGTATGAGCTGATGTGGAGAGATTTCTTCAGGTAACAGTATTGCATCATCCACTTTGAGCTCTTTTGAACTTGGACATAGACGTGTATCCACTTTTCCTCCATTATGGATATTATATTGAGGATGTTTTTACTTGGACTGTAATTTGCTGGTCTGGTCTGAACTGGTTTGGTCTGATTTCTTTGTATTTTTATAACTATCCAAGTCTGGTCTGAACTGGTATGGTCTGGGACAAATTACAGTCCAAGTAAAAACATCCTGAATCTACAAGCTAATGCTGATGTGTTTGGTTGTTGAAAATAAGTTGTTGTTTATCGTCAAAATATTCTATCAGAAATTATTTATTCCATGTACTACCTCCACCCCATTAAACTTGGCTAACTTTCCTTTTTTGGCTGTCCCAAAAAACTTAGCCATTTCCATTTAAACTAACAAATATGTGGCTAAAGTTATTTCTTTCTCCTCCTTTGTCCAAATATCAACCACACAGTTTTTAATTTATTATTTTACGTGCAAGTCAACTTTGGCCAAGTTTTATGGGACAAAGGGTATAATATAGTGCTTACCCCACATGCACAAAAAACCTAGGGCCGTATGTTATTTTTTGTTTTGAGATTGTAAAAGGTATATGATATACGTTGTATAAGGAACTAAAAAATCATTGTACTTGTAGTAATCATGTTAATTTTGAAAGCTGTAAAAAATGATAACAACTTTTTCTGATTTTCAGATTTGTGTTTCTAGTTTTCAAATAAAAAAAATAATGCTGATGAACAAAGCCTTAGTTCAGGCTTTTTTCCCGCCTACACAATATTATCATCCAATCAAAGACTAACACTGAGAAACTGCTATTTTATCCCTCAATATGAAGGGGAGAAAGTGTTGGCAAAGGGTCAGTTGGTTGTTTTAAAAAGCCAAGTGTATACTCTATATCATGATGTTTCTTTGAGTTTTAATTAAAATTTAGTAAATAACTTAATAACATAACACTGTAACAGGTGGATCGTATAAGAAATAATGAGAAATAACTAAGAAATGGACAAAATGTGACTTTTACTACACATTGACCATACTGGTAGTCTGGTACCTTTACCGCCACTACACTGACGTTAGTTGAATCTTACGAATGGATGTAGTAACCGTGTAGTACTGTAGTCGGTCCAAAAGTTCCAAGCCCTCCAAAGTCCGCACGCCCACCGCCTGAATTGTCAACTAAAAACCATCACCCTAATTTTGTAGGGTGATTGATTCCTTGTGATCTCTGATCAGTAATGGGCCAAAGAGGCCTAATTCCTTCCACACTGTTTCCATCATATTTGCGTTTTGTAATTTTACCCATCGATGCAATGCAATGCAATGTTTGGTTTGCTTTTTATCAGGTTCATTACCAAGAAATACAGCTCTGCCAGACAAAACAGTACTGCTCCGGTCACCGTATGTACAGGAGCTGCAGTATGTTGAAGTGGATATATTATGATTTGATGAATGTGGTTTGAAATTAATGGAATCTTTAGCCTAAGATGAACGCTGCGTTCGCAAGAAAATAATAACTCTTGATTATAATTGCTCTTCGTTTGTATGAGTAGCTGCTTTTGTTTTCTCCAATTTGTGGTTTCTTTGGCTATAGTGGTGTATTTTGTAAACTTTATGAACAGTCATTGACATAGTAGTCAATGGCTAGATATGGCGTGCGCCATATGCGCCATCGCCATGAAAAAGTGGTCATCGCCATAGAGCCATATGTGCTATATGCGCCGTTCGTATATGCGCCATCGCCATGCGCCATGAAAATTGCCATTGAGCCATGGCGATCGCCATGCGCCATGACAACTGTGGTCATTGAGGAGCTTCTCCAATCTCCCTGCTATAGCTGGACAATTGCAGAATTTGAGGGTATATGAAATGAAGTTAAATTTCTTTGTTTTGGGTAAAATGAAGTTATTTTAGTTTTACGCAATGAGCGCTTTTGTAGCTTACCTAACAAAAAGAACCGAACATATTTAAGCTTTGTATTGCTTAGTTTGTTGTTCTGTTTGGTAGTATGATTCTTTAAAAATACCAAACGCCCCTCTTTATAGAAAGGTTCACCAAGTTATTCCATTAATATAAAAAAGCTTAACTAACACGCACTAAGGCTCAGTTTGGTAGCCCTATTTGCCTTATTTTGCTTATTCGCGCAATAAGTAAAAAGACGCATTAAAGAGCTACTCCTTTCATAAAATGTAGCAGATTGAACTGTTTCAACCGAAAGTGAGGAAATGTGACACAGCTGATGAGCTGACAGCACTTTAAGATGATACCGATGCGCTTCAAATTAATTGTACGAGTATATTGTAAATTACGTAGTAATGTAAATTAGTTCCATGGTAATTTTGTGGAATTCTCGAGAAGTTATAACCAAAATTATATCATATTGAATCTCAAGTTGTGTTTTTCCTTTACATGTCATGAAATGTATATTTAGGCTTCGTTGGATGGGAGTGAATTCTTATGTTCTGATCTAGTATGATCAAATTTGGTCCAGTTACTATGGCCCAAGTCCGGTCTCGAATTGATTTAATCTGATCCGGTTTGAACAGTCTTATATGATCTTTATCTTGCATTTTAGATTAGATTTTTAGTGCTTGGGCAATTGGAGAATTCAAAGAGGAAATGATATAAGAGTAATAATACGAAGTATAAAAGAAAAATAGATGGCATAAAGGCGTACAGCTGCTGTTCAAACAATAATATGCTTGTTGTATATCAAGACACATACCCCAAATGTGGTAAATGAATGAACCAAAAATAAAATGATCATAACAATAATGATAGGAAATAATTGGTAGCTCAAAAATATGTGTTCAATGGACGAGGTAAGGCTCAAAGATCTGCTCTGTTGATCGAATAAACAGGCAGCAGCAGGAATAAGATGTTGGGCATATTTGTTAAGAATGAATTAGCAAGTTATTCTGTAGAACTGGATGAGCGAGTATCATCTTTTTGGTCACCAAAGATCCTTTGCCTGAAGTCTTGAACCATCATTGGCAGACCCTTCCTAAGAGGCACTTTGGGTTCCCACCCAAGCATGTCTTTGGCCTTCGAGATGTCAGGCTTCCTCATGTGCGGGTCATCCTCCGTGTTGGGCCTGAACTCTATTTGAGCGTTTGCGTCTATGGTTTCCTGTACAACCTGCACAGAAAGAAAGCTTTAATGAATATATAATTCTAAGTCCGTGAACCAACCAACCATACAACTAAAAAACTTTTCTTCATTAGGGGTGTTTTGGGCTCCAAAACACCCTATTATAAGTCAAATGTTCCACTCTCTCCGGTTGAGTGTAGTTAAGAGTAAATAAAAGGCCCTTTGTTCTTTGATTTGAGTGTTTTGTTAGTTCCACTCTCTCCGATTTTCATAATCTTGTTTTTAAATATAAAGTTTCATATCATTTTATACAACAACAAAAACATATCCAAATTACCTTAGCAAGTTCAAGCATTGTGAATTCACCAGGGTTTCCAAGGTTAAAAGGTCCAACATGATCTCCTTCCATCAAGCGCATCAGCCCCTCAACCTGCACGTAAGACAACCAATATTATATGCATCCATTAAATACGACTTATTTTTTCATAGGCACGCTTCTCAATGCTTGTTTGCCTTTTGCTCCTTTTGGGGGTTTAGCTACTCTTGATGGCAAAGGCTTTTCTATCCCAGAAAATTTCAGACAAGGGCTGGAGACTTGGAGTGTCATTCTAATTATATGAAATGAAACCATAACCTTTTCTGACTTAATTTCCTCTCTAGAGAGATTCAATACCCACATAATTTATCCCACAAAAGGTCAATGGGCCAAAAACTCATATAAAACGAAACCACAATAAATGTCATTATGGCAGCAATAGGAAACACTTTCAACATCATTAAACCGAAATACTCAGTAGATATCTTTTTATGTAAAAAACGAGGCAATTGATAATATAACATACTGTACAAAGCTCGATAGATAGAAATCGTTCTATTACATATATGACTTACCAAATCTGAAACAAATTGGAAGCTTCTAGTCTGCTTTCCATCACCATAAACCGTCATTGGTTCCTTCCTTAACGCCTGTACAGTTAATCAATCCATATGTCCAAGGTCAGCTACAAAATGATCTTTAGAAAGTCAATAACTATAGGTAATTGAGCGTCAGAATCACCTGAGCAACAAAGTTGCTGACAACACGGCCATCGTCAATGCACATTCGTGGACCGTATGTGTTGAATATCCGAGCAATCCTTACCTGGAAAATCAGACAGTTTTGTTTTAAATTGATTCAAGAAGTCAAGAGAGCCTTAACATCTTATGCAATCATATCATCATAACCATCAACAGTACACAGTACATCATATCAATATAATTCAATAACAATTTAACAGATGTTTGAATTTTCAATCATAAGCAAGCTAATCTGACCTCAACACCAGCACCTCTGTGGTAGTCCATAGTTAGTGTTTCTGCTGTACGCTTTCCTTCATCATAACAGCTCCTGACCCCTGTAATGAATCAATAATGAATTCGTAATGAATGAACAGCACGTTCCACCACAAATTCATAAGATATGATCAACAACTCACCAATAGGATTGACATTTCCCCAGTAAGTTTCCTTCTGAGGGTGCTCCAAAGGATCACCATAAACCTCGCTGGTACTTGTTAGCAAAAACCGTGCGCCCACTCTCTTGGCCAATCCCAGCATGTTCAAAGTCCCTACCACATTTGTCTTGTGAAGCTCCCCAAAACCAAAAACAGAATTAAGGATTTCAATTTCTAACCAATCAAAGAGCTAAGCAGGAAACTAGAAAAATGATTGCAAAAGGAATCAAAAAAGGATATGATAGTCTTGACGGGATTGTGCTTGTAGTGAACGGGTGACGCTGGGCAAGCAAGGTGATAGATCTGGTCAACCTCCAACAGGAGCGGCTCAACGACGTCGTGTCGGATGAGTTCGAACCTCGGGTTACCAAAATGATGCATCACATTCTCCTTACGGCCGGTGAAAAAATTGTCGACGACGATGACGCTGTCGCCTCTCGCGATGAGACGGTCCACCAGATGGCTGCCGACGAAACCCGCCCCGCCGGTCACGACGATCCTCAAACCCTTCCGTTGAAGGCCCAGCGGGACCTTCCCGCCAGAATGCACCGCCCCGAAGCCAATGCCCTTCTGATACATGAACCGGTGCGGCCGAACCGATCGGGAGTCGAATTGGGAGGCCGAGATCGCTTCATAGCCCGGGCTGTACGGAGGATTTGACGACGGACGCAGAGCGAAGATGAAGGTGGAGATGGCCATGCCGGCTAGAAGGCAAACCAGGCGCTGCTCACGGAACATGTAACTGATCGGCCTGTTAATACCCAGCCACGGTTTCGCCGGCTTAGGGGTGTAGTCGTCGGCCACCGGCAGTGACTCCTGACCTCGAAAGAACAACTCGGATCCCATAACTGCTCTGTTTCTCACTGAGTGTGAATGTGTGTGGATGGAAGCTTATAGAATGCGTTTATATAGAACAAAGTGGGAATGAGAAATGAGATGATGAAGATGGCGGATGGTGAGAAATTATCGCGGCGGAAATTGGTGGATATTCTCCGTCCGACTCACTCCCTCGCGGGTGGGAAGGCGTTTCAATCTAAGACAGTTTGGTGAAGTGTCATCATATGGTAATAACAAACAATAAATACGGGTATTTTGAGATATTCTTTAGAGAATTTGACTCCCCAACTCATACTAATATCAAATTTTTTTTGTAGGGAAAACTATCAAATAAGCACTCGTACTATACAGAAAAAGTCGATTAGACTCTCGTACTTTACAAACACTCAATTAAGTCTTTGAATTATTAAAAAATGTTCAATTAAGCCCTTTCGGTCGGTAAGTAACCGGTTTCCCGGTTAAATGTAACCAGTTTCCCGGCAGCCGCCGATGCTAGGGTTCGAGCACATTGTCGCCGTCGTCACCGTTTAACCGGGAAACCGGTTACTTATTGACCAAAAGGACTTAATTGGAAGTTTTTTAATAGTTCGAGGACTTAATTGAGTGTTTGTAAAGTACGAGGGCCTAATCGACTTTTTCGACATAGTACATGGGCTTATTTGATAGTTTTCCCTTTTTTGTAAGAACATTTTTAGTCTCTTACTATCCCCATCCGTTAAAACTTTGCAAGTTTGATCGGCACGAGGATTAATAAAGTAAAAACTATGTGGTTGAGGTTTGTGTAGAGGAGAAAGAATTAACCGGAACTATAAATTCTTTACTTATAAGAGAAAGTGACAAAGTTAATGAAACATCCAAAAAAGGAAAGTTGATAAAGTTTTAAGGGACGGAGGGAGTATAATATCTGTTCAATACTTCAATGTTAAACTAATATCAAATTATTATTATTCCTAAAAGCATTTCTTAACTTTAGTACATGTGTTTGGATCTGATTCTTGAAATTACTTCTACTCCTTCAGATAGCAGAATCAGAAGTTGGAACGTTTGGAACTTTGGATCAAAATGCAGAAGTACTTCTGGTGCTTTAATTTAATCCTAGAAACAGTTTTTTTAGAAGATGAAAGAGAGCAACTTCTAAAAATTGATTCTGATTCTATTTCTGATTTAAAAGAGAAGCAAAAGCAGTTTCAAACACTCCTTATGATCTCTCTTTTTTGCATAAATTTTTTGACAATTGTTAACCGATAACCATGATCTCTCTTTTTTGCATAAATTTCAATTATACAATTTTCACTTTATTATTATACGTACAAGTTAATTTTAATCAAGTTTTATAGGAGAGGTGGGATACAAAAAGTTGTTCAATAGACACTCCAAAACTGTGTTGCACATTATCTAGCTCAATCATGGCGTGAAATTTGAAGGAGGTGGTGTGAAATGTTATCTCAATTTGAACTAGTATCAAAAGATTGAGCTAAGAATCTTTCTCATCGTATAATACTTTTTAACTTTTACTACCTCTGTTCCCCTAAGTTTGGGTCAAGAGAAAGGGACACAGTACAATTATTAATAAAAGTGAGTTTATGAGGTTAATATTGGATTGATAAAGTAAGAATAAAGTAGGAATGATTTAGAACCACACAAACTTTACCAAATAAGATATGAGAAGAAAAGGTACAGATCTAAAACTTATCTTCAGGCGCTAATTTCAAAATATCAAGGGATGATTAAGTTTGAACAATAACTTTAGAACTCCAAATTGTCTTTCCAATGAGATATAATATCCTTTAAATGAAAGAACACACATCAAGATATGAGTGTCACAAATACTTAGTGGGACAGACCGAAATGGTAAAATGGGACAACCATAGCGGGACATAGGAGTATTACTCTTTGTGTTCATTGTTACTCGCACTAATTATCATCATAAAATCAAAAGTAAAGGTTTAAAGACGCGTAGCAAGAGGGTAAAATGAAAAACTAAGACTGA